CTGGCTCCTTTGGGGCGGCCTCAGAGGGACGTGCTGATGAAATGCCGGGACGCCAGAGGGCCTGGGGCAGGAAGACGCGGGTGCCGGGCACCGCTCCGTGCGGGACGCGTGGGACACAGGGGGGGCAGCCACGCTTGGGGCAGGGCTGAGGTTGAGCCTCTCGCCCTCTCGTCCACGGCCACCCCAGGCACTCCCCGCACCCCACCCCCCACTTTAGCCATAGTCTGTTTTTACTGAACTATTTAGGAGTTTCAGACGTAATGACAGTTCCCCCCAACACAAACACTCGCTCCTGTTTCCTAAAAATCAAGGACGTTCTGTGATAATAAAAATCCATCATTTCCAAGGATGGATACGGGGGCCTAATTCAGACCTCGCAGTGACCTGAAATGCTCATTCCACACGTGCGCACAGACGCAGTTCAGTGTCTCAAGTCCAGCCGCCAGTGGGGGTCACAGTGCTTGCCGCGTCCCTGAGGTCGGGAACACGACTGCCCTGCCCGACACCCCATAACGCTGCCAGTTCTGGAGGTCAGGCTGATGGTGTGAGGTTCCCCCAGCAGCGACCTGAGGAGCCATCGCATCAGGCTGACCGTGGGGAAGGCTACGGGCCATGGTCTGGGACCCCGCTGCTGGGGGCCTGCCCCGGGGTGCATGTTGGAGCGTTCCTCATCTCCTCATTTCTCCTTGTCCAAAGGTTTGGCCCCTCTTTGTGAAAACATGCCCAGCGGGAAGGCCAACAAGCCCGGGGATGTCGTGAGAGCCCGGAACGGGAAGACCATACAGGTTGGTCCTTGGGAGGCGGCGGCTCGCAGGGCGAGCACTGCATGCCTGTCAAGAACTATTTCCTCACGGGGACTTGAGCATGCTTTTCCCGCCTGACTATTCCTCCGCCTCCCTGCATCCCGTGTGCAAATCACCGCGAACTTGCAGCCAGCCCTGCAGAGCCCGCCAGAGAAGCTAGAGCTGCTTTTCCTGTCTAGGGCTCAGGTGGAAAGCCGCGTCCCGAGTGTGGGCTCTCCCGGGGCCGGAGCGGGCACGCAGTCGGCGGCGCCCCGGAGTGTAGCGTCGCGAGTGTTCTCGCCTGGACGTGCAGGCCGCCACTTAGCCGTAGCTTCCTTAGAGCAGCCCTTGGCTTCAGAAACCCTGACTAATCCCCTTGCTGCAAACTGGGCCAGGCGTTTCTGTGTGTCGTAGCCCCCGACGTCATCAGTGTGCCCCCTGCACCGGGCATCATTAAACCGCCGGCTCTGCAGAGTGAACCTAGCCCTGGCCCTGTTCCGGCTCTGCTGTGCGCACGTAGCGAGCTGCCCACGGCCGGCCCGTGACCAGCAGCGTCTGTTGGTGGCCCGGGCGTGGGAGTCGCCCTCCGTGATGGGCAGAAGGCGGCAATCTCAGAACCTGTTCCCAGAGTTCAGGTGCCGGCAAGTTAGATTTTGATACTCGACTTCAGATGCTGCACAAGTCCTTTAGTGTTTTCATTTAGTTTTGATTTTCCCCCAAGCGATGCTGGCTGAGGCCCTGCGGGTTTCAGGTGTGCCTGGCACCTGCTGGCTGCACTGTGGTCACCAGCCACCACCGCGGGTGGGTGCTGGTGCCCGTGGCCCGCGCCTCGTTGACCTCTCCTGCCGGCTTCCTCCCTGCAGGTGGACAACACGGACGCCGAGGGGCGGCTCATCCTGGCCGACGCGCTGTGTTACGCGCACACCTTCAACCCCAAGCTCATCATCAACGCCGCCACCCTGACAGGTGGGTGGCAGCCCGCCCTGCTCTGTCTGCACGGAGGCCCGGGCGGTTTCGGGGATGTGGCTCGCTCCCTGTGCGTTCAGACATCTTTCACCGGGCAAACAGCCTTGTCCCTATTTGCTGAGCCGTTCTGGGTATTGGGTTGTTTGGAGACGTTCCAGGCTGTACCTTTTTAAAAAGGTGGTAACAGGTGAGTCCGATCTGCCCGTCCAGAGGCACAGCGAGGAAGGCTCAAAGGCGTTTTCTGCGAGGTTTGCTCTGTGCGGCGGAGCTGGGTGGAGTCCCCCGAGCAGCGGCTTTATGCATCATAGTGTCTGACGCCGCTGGGTCTCTCGAACTTTTACTCAGTGCTTCTGAGCTGGGTGGGAGGGGCAGTGGGGCAAGACCCTCAGGTAACAGGTGTCGGTGTGGGGCCAGTCTGGGGTGACCCCACAGAGCCTGACGGCCTTGGGCACGGCACTTGAACCCCTTGAGCATCATGGGGACACGGCTGTTTGCCTCGCACACTTGTGAGACTGGGGGAGGTTCTGGGAAACCTGTGGGAAGCCAGCCTGGCACCGGCGTGTCGGGGAGGGGTGAATCCCGCGGGGAGCCAGCGCCCGGCCTTCCTGCGCACAAGGGTGCCCCCCCCTGCCACCCACAGTTCTCCTGGACCTCATTCTGTCTCTGCCTCTTTTAAAATGAAAAATCAAACCCTTTATCCTTGGGTCTTAGCTCCTCCCCTTGTTACACGAGCTTTAGTTGTAGCAGAAAAGGGCTCGTTTTCCCCTTTTTGTGGGTCTGACAAATAGATCTCAGGTTTGTTTGCCAAGTTCATGTCTAAGCTCCATGTAAGCTGGATTACAGTGTCTCCACCGTCTCTTGTCTCCGTTGAGTCGTTACTGGAAGGTGAGGTGGGTTCTGGGGGAACAGTGGTAAGATGGGGGTGATCATTCTTCTTTAAGTGAGGACTCCCAGCACGCACCCTCCTTTCCCCCCCAGCTTGAGACAGCATGTGGGAAGGAGGGCACAAGGTGGCTGAGGGGCGCCTGCGGCGAGCCTGCCTGCTGGGCCCTCACGCAGGGTCCAGGCTGTGGCCCATTGCCACCCCCAGGAGGGAGGAGGGAGCAGGGATGCCGTCTTCAGAGATAGAAAACCTGGTTGTAAAACATCCTGCTTCTTCATAGCGCTTGGCTTTGAACAGGGCCTTGGTCACCACCTCTGGGAAGGAGGGCCGGGTGAGGCAGTGAGCGGATGCCAGCTGCCGTGCCTGGCCTGGCAGACACTGAGAGGGCCTGTGCCATAGAGCCACCAGGTCGTGAGGGACATGGCCTTTCAGGCCCGCGACTGCTCTCCATTTTCAGAGGTGCGTATTTGTGCCTCTGGGAACGTCTGGAAGATGAGCGACAAGTCGGGGAAAGGTACTGACTTGGAAAGTAAAGTGTGAGAGTCCTGGATGGAAGTGGACAATGTCCCGCGGGCCTGGTGTCCAGCGGTGCCCAGTGAATGCTGGGGCTGGGCCTGCAGGGGTGGCGCGGGTGACCCGGAGAGCCTGGGCGGTGGAGGGTTCCGGAGTTCAGGGCGCAGGGGCCCAACAGCGTTGCTGGAGCTGAGTCTGCAGAGGCGGCCGCCCTGGGAGTTGAGGGAGGGGAGCTTCCCAGTGAGGGGGCCGCAGGCACTTGGGGCCCAGGCGGGGCCTCCCAAGACGACAGGGCGGAAGGGCCAGGTGCCGGCCAACCTTGGCATGCCACTCTGGGGTTCTGTCTTGAGCCAAGTGCAGCAGGAAGCTACTGAAGAGCAGGGAAGGTGAGCCTGGGACCATAAGGTTGTGTCTGTGCCCTGAGAGTGGTGGCCTGGAGAAGGGCCAGGAGGCTGGCAGCCAGCGTGGCCTGCCGAGCCGGTGTGGTTGTGAGTCTCGTGGGCCGTCAGTGTGTGTGTGTTAGGCCCAATGTGACAAGATCTGTACCTGGCTTCAAAATCACCCACTGGGTGTGGGGGTATCGTGAAATAGATGTGCCCATGTCAGTAATTCTTGGTTCTGTCTGGGGGGGCATACATGTGCATTCATTCTGTTCTCTTTGCTTTTGGGTATACTAGAAATTGTCCGGTAAAGTGTTTGGGACTGTTCTGCAGGCCAGATGGTGGACGGTCACGGCAGCTGCGCTGGAGGCAGGGCGCAGAGCTTTCAGAGCTAATCAGAAGGAACAGTTAACTTGTAGAGCTCCCAAGTACCCCAATGTCACACAGGGATCAGGCCACCACTTTAAAATCATGACTTGTCCGAATCTGTCAACTGCTGGCAAGTTCTTACTGTTAACTTACAGAAAGCATCACTGCCTCATTGTGACACCGTATGTGGTCATGAGATTAACCGACGTTAACAAAATGAGATGTCAGCTGTAAGGGTGGATCCGAGGCCGAGGGATGTACAGAATTTAGCCGTAAACCTGCGAGTGAGGGGGGTGCTTCCATGGGTGCCTTCCTGTGTGACTGACTAATCCCCTGGATGGAAGGACAGGGGACGCTGTGGATAGACTGTTAGAAGGCACAGGCTCGCAGAAGAGTGCCTGCCAGCCTGCGCCAGGGTTGGGGTCTTACCAGGCAGCTCGTGTGAAGTCAAGGGAAGGGCGCAGGGCGGATGGAGGGCCAGTATGAGCCTTGGGTGACTGGTCGCAGTGTGACCTCGGGAAGCCTCTGGCAGTTCCGCTGGATGGCGCCCCCCCCCCCCCCCCCAGCTGAGGGCCACAGTGCTGTCTCACTCAGCACCACCAGGATGTTTTTTGAAACTGTAACTTTAAGCGAATGACTATAATGAAAATAGACCCTAGAGTAAGTTACTCAAGGATCTGCTGCACACGCTTAGGAATTAGACGCGATCCCTGCTCCCGGCCTTACACCTTCAGCTGGGTCAAGCGGTTAGTAACAAACAAAACGGCCAGATCCAGGCCAGGCCACAACCAGAGGCGGCTGCACTTAGCTCTCTGAGCTTGCCCTAGAGAACTTGGAAACCTGGCTTTTAATTTGATTTTAAAAGATGTGTTGATTAAGAGAAATTAGTCAATGGGAAACAACTTTGTCAGAGGAGGAAATGAAAATGAAAGATGATAAATTAAGAGACCTTATAACTAACATTTCATTTTTCCAGTTGTAAATACGTTTCCTATTTGCCTATACTGTGAAATGACCTTGGAAGTCTAGGTGACATCCATCCCAGGCTGAGCTAGATCATTCTTTTCTTGTGGTGAGATCGGCTAAGATATCTGCTCCTGTGACTGTACAGAGTAGCTGCAAGTTGGGTTGGGTTTTCACTCGTTCATTGAGGTGCCACTTATAAGCAAGATCATACAGCGTCTCTCTTGGTCTATCTGAATTCACTAGTGTCACACGCTCCATGGTGTCACAGATGGCAAGATCTCCTTTTTATGACTGAATAGTATTCCTTTGCGAGTGTCGCTGTGTGCGTGTGCCTACATGTGTCCCATTTATTCACTCGTCCATCAGGGCGCAATCAGGTGGTTTCTGTGACCAGGCTATTGTAAATAGTGCGACAGTGATTGTGAGGGTACAGGTGTCTTTTAAGCTCCTGTTTTTGTTTCCTCTGGATATTAATAAATACCCAGAAGCGGAATTGCTGAATCACTTGGTAGTCCTATTTTTAAGTGTTTGAGGAACCTTCACTAATGTACATTTCCTCCAACAGCATCTAAGGGCTTCTTGTTTTCCACATCCTCACCAAAACTTGTTACTTCTTGAACACTTTTTTTAAAAAAAGGTATCAAAGTCTTGCAGTGGAAACTTTCTGAGATGTTATGAAAATATAGAAAAATTAGAGGTGCCTCATTGTGCAGATATTAGTAAATTGTTGCCTGCTTGTTTTTTTCAAAGGAAATACTAAAAATGAGATATTTGGTAATTTCCATTTGTTGCATTTTCATTCATAACTGACAGTAAATTCTAGCTTGTATATATATTACATACCTACACAGCTTTTATATATATATTACATACATACAGGAAAGATTTCCTAAGCCTATCTGTGTTTGAAAATGAGGGAGACACAGGCTACAGCTTCCCGCCAAGTAGCAGAGCCTGAACCCTTACCTGAGGGATTGTCTTGCAGGTGCCATGGACATAGCTTTGGGGTCTGCTGCCACTGGGGTCTTCACCAATTCATCCTGGCTGTGGGACAAACTCTTTGAGGTAGGAATAATACCTAGAAACTGAATCACAGAGTTGATGATTAAGTCATCTCTTGGAGCAGGGTATTTCTTCAACTCCTGTGTTAATGTGACCGTTATGTTGTAGATTTGCCTTTGAATGAAAGGCTATAAACTCAATTCAGGGTGCTCGGAATTTCCTAAGGTTAAAAAACTGATGGTTTAAAGCCTTAAACTTCTTTTCCCCTTACTGTTCCCCCTTCGCCTCTGTTGTCTCACATTTGGAAGTGTCCCCCCGCGCCTCCGACCCGGCTGACCCTGATACTCAGCCCTGTGGTCGTCCTCAGGCTGGACGGCCATGTACCCCACTCCCTCTCTGTCAGAGCACACACTGCATTTTGACTTTAATTCCAACCTCTTTTAAAAACTCAAAGTGACATGTGCCCGCACGTTAGTTAACAGCAGTCTTCAGTCTTCCCGGAGGCGGCCACATTCAGCCTCTGCTGGCTCCTCTGTTGTCTACTCGTGTTTCAAAGCAGCTGCTTTTGTCAATGCTTCTGGGCGTTCCCTCTGACGGTGTATGAAAGTCGTCTCTGTCAGCCTTCCTGTGGGCCCAGGCTGTCTGTCGGTGTCCCAGATACTAAATTGGTGCTCAGCAGAAATTCCAAAAATGATGAGGGAGCCACTGGGGACGTGATTGTGGCCTTACCCAGAACTCCGCGCCTCTTCCCCTGTAGGCCAGCATTGAGACGGGGGACCGCGTTTGGAGGATGCCTCTCTTTGAACATTACACAAGGCAGGTCGTAGACTGCCAGCTTGCTGATGTCAACAACATAGGGAAATACAGGTATGTGTACGTGCAGCTTTTCATAATCCTGCTGGTAGCCAAAACGACCATTATCCTCTCTTACAAAAGCTTTGACCATTTCCTTTTGAGATCGTACTTGTGAGCACCGATTTCTCATGAATTTTATTTTCAAAGTATTTCCCAACTGGTTGTCAAGATGTTGTATGTTTTCAAAATTAAAGGTAGTTCTATGCAAATGGTAGGGAAAGAGATGGACAACATGAGAATTCGACACCACAGGGAAACTGTGGTTCCGTATTAAAGTAGGTCTGAAAAGAAATGCACGGGGTGCTTGCATCCGGGTAACTTCTTCATAGGCTTCAAAAGCTTGACTTATACTCTGTCTTTAGCACCTGCTCGGCAGGAACTGGGGAACCTTCATGCCACATCGGGCACATGGTCGCCTGGGGTGAAGTAACCAGCTTACCTTTCTCTCAGATCTGCAGGTGCTTGTACGGCAGCAGCGTTCCTGAAGGAATTTGTGACTCACCCTAAGTGGGCGCATTTAGACATCGCCGGGGTGATGACCAACAAGGACGAGGTCCCGTACCTGCGGAAAGGCATGACGGGCAGGCCCACCAGGACGCTGGTGGAGTTCCTGATGCGTCTCAGCCAGAACAGTGCGTAGCTGGGAAACGCCTGCTTCTGTCTCAGCTCGGACAGCTGAACTTCAAAATAGTTTCAAATGAATGGGTGAAATCGTTGAAAAGAAACAAAGAAGGGTGATATTTTAAAATGTAGAGCAAAATGAAATTTATACTCCTTGATTCTGTCTTTTTCATTTTATGCAGCAATGTATCGGGATAAAGCTAATAACCTTCCTTGACAAAGCTTGTGAAGATTTCTATGTGATGAGTGATTTTTAAAACCTGGTCACTTTCCAGAGTATGTTTTTAATCGAACAAAACTGTATTTCATGTTTGTGATGCTAAGAACATGAAAGAAACAAAAAGTTACTGTGTAATTTCAGGAACAATAAATCCAACTTTTCATGCTCTCTGGCATTTACTTACATGGCACTGTAAACCCACAACTAGGATAACCTGTCTCTTTGTTGGGTTGTAATTAAATCAGGGCACAGTGACACAGGTTTGCTCGGTGTTAATAATCACTTTGGGGGTTCCCATGATTGAGTAACAGCGGGATCCCTGGGCACTCACCTCTGCCAGAAACTAAGCAGTGATTGATTCTCACAATAACCAGATGTGCTAAGCATCCTCCACGGTGCAGGAGAACGAGGTGCAAGAGGGGTCATGACATGCCAGTGATGCCCCTGCTAGTAAGTGGGGAGCAGAGATGGTAGCCCCGGCAGTCCACCCTCAGGCCCGGCCTTCTCAGGCACACAAGTGCTCTCCTTCACTCTCACTTGATGGGATTTCTGTGCACTACGGAAGAAACGGCCCTAAAGGGAATGGCAGTGGCCCCTGGGACTATGAGCAACAAAATGCCATGTGTGCAGACTGAGAACAAAGGTTTATTTCTCACATTTTTGTCTCAGGCGAGTCAAATCACCCGCAAACAGGCTGCATGCCTGTTGTAAGACTGACAATATCTGATAGAAAAAGCTGTTCTGTAGAGGTATTTTGAATAATTTGACACATAGAAGGATATGCCCGTAAAGTAGCCTGTAGGGAGGGAATGAACACAGGCGTGTGCATCATGCCACAAGCTTTAAGCAAAGCAGGCTGGGGTAGTGCGCGGGTTCTGGTTCTCCTGGGTGTCTGTGCAGAAGCTACTTCCTCAGAAAAGCTGCAATCAGGCGGAACTGGCAGCTGGTGAAGGAAATGGAAACATTTCAGTTTCTTCCAGTGACTCAGAAGACCAAGGAGGGATTTGACAATTGGCTTTCTATCAAAGGCCTTTCCCAGATGAAAGAATAGAACTCTCATGTTCTCTAGAATGTGAGGAACAAAAGGCACAGCAGAACCCTGGACTTGGGTTTATCTCATTTCCTTGAAATTTAATAGTGTCACTGCACAAGTCTCTGTCTGCCAGGTACCACACAGACCCTTGGCTGACCTCAGTCACGCTATGCGGCAGCTGGTGGCATCAGCCTCCAGGAGTAGGAGTAGGCCTGGCTGTGGGGAGCAGCAAATCCCAAACAGTCGTGATTTAGAAGACAACACTGGTGGGGGTGGCTAACGTGGGCAACCCAAAGTTCAAGGAGAGCCCCATGGCATCAGAAACCCAGGCTCAGAGAAGTTCTCCCAGACACCCTCAGCATCCCCTGTGGCGGGTGGGGTTGCAATCTACAAAGGGGAGCAGAGGAAGCAGGAAGAGCCTCACTCAAGTCCCACGTAACACTTGTGTTTGTATCATCAGCCAGAGTTCAGCCATGGTGACTGCAAGGATTTGGGGACATTTAGATTAAGATAGCTGGGTGCATCTGTCACCTGGATAGAAGAGAAGAGAGGACAGGAGGTGGGGACAGTTTCTGACACGGTAGAGATGAGGAAACTGAAACTCATAAGTCGCTGTTGTCCTTCAACTGGAAAGCAGTACAAAGGTCAGAGCCCAGACCAGTGGATCTGCAAGCCTGACTTCTGCAAACCCACATGTCGCCTTGGGCACAAGAAGCCACTGCTAGATAAGCCCGTGCAAGGGGACAGGAACCCCATCTCATGTCTAACTATATCTGCTCACAGCACAGAACCCAAACCACTGAGGAGTGTCAGTACTGAGTGAGTGGTTGAGAACGGAGACCCGGGAGTGGAAAATGAACTGGATGAAGCCTGGGAGTGTTTGGTGTCAAAGGAAACGAAAATGACAGCAGAGAAAATACAAAAAAGGCCCTCAGACCCTGCAAGATCAGAGAAGGGAAATGTTAGTATTTGGGAGTAAAGGAGTTACTCGTTCAGCAGTTATTTCTGGCCAAGCCTGTGGCAAGCATTGCAGAAAGTGGTTGGCATGGCAAAGTAAACAAGATGTAACCCCCAGCCTTAAGAGAATTTACAGGCTGGGATTGGGTGATACCTTATCACTAGGTGCTCTGTCCTTTAAACAACACTGGCCGGCTCACTGCTCAGGGACCTTTCTCTGCCGCCCAGCGTACTGTGCGGCCAAGCAGCCGGTCCGGCTCAGCTGCCCTTGTAGAGTAAGCTTTGCCCTTTCATCACAAGTCTGGGGGAATGTTAGCCTAAGCTTTTTTTTTTTTTTTAAAGATTCATTTATGCATACAGAACTGGGGTACAGGTCAGAGGTGCAGGGGCAGTGAGAGGGCTCACCAGAGACAGAGTGGGGAGCAGAACAGGCAGATGGATGAAGTACACTGCCGAGGGGAGCAGTGGGCAAGACAGGAGAGGTCTGAGCCCCATGTGGGCCAGCACCCTGGTTGGGGATTGAACTTGTGAACTTGTGCTGAAGCACTGCGGCCAGCTTCATAGTGCCGTGCTTTAACCTGTTGCGCCACCAGGGAGAACCCCTGGCCTCTTGTTTCAGGAAAGTCAAAACCATTGCCATTGCACATTCCATTCCCAAACAGTTGGCATTATTCCTAAATTATGCAGTTTATCTAAGCGCATTCCACGTCTGTCCACTTCTTCTATGCTAAACTCCGGAATCACCCTCTGTATGCTGTGACTACCTTACTGGTGCCACCTCTACTTGGGTGCCTTGTTATCCATACCAGTGGAGAAATTTTAAATGAATTACATCATGTGACCCCCTTTTCCCCTCCACATTACCCATTCTGTGCCAGGCACTATATTTGTCCCCCTAATACATTTATCTCATTGCTGATCTTTCCAGGCAGCATTTTCTTTTTGTAAATGAAGAAGTGTGTTTTTGGCAAAATCCAAAAGCTATTCTGGAACCTATTCTGAAGCGAATTCAAGAGATATTACTGACCTCAGGCAACTTACTTGTAGTTGGTTAAGTGTGAGAAACAGTCCTCTATTAACCTAGGTATTAAAGGAATTTACAAAAAAAAAAAAAAAAAAAGATGATGGCACTCATTACACTTTTGACTTTGCCAACAATTTAAGTCTTAAAATCTGAGTCATATCTTAAGCTAACGCTCCATTTTAACATAGGTAAATATTTTACCTACTCTTCTAAGAGCTAAGTATTGGCAGACATACCCCACATAAACAAACACAAATGTTTGGATTTTTTTCATAACTTTTTATAAGTGTAAAGGTGCCTTGAGTCTCATGCTGGAGTAGCATCCCTCCCTCTCATATTGGTATTTTGTTCATTCAATCAACAAATATTTATTTTAGGTCTATTTTATGCCAAGCACAGTGCTGGGAATACAGAAGAGGCAGGTCCTGATATCATGGAACTTGTATTGCAGTTAGTACATGAGAGGGTATGTGTAAGGCCAGTTAGTCCATGAAAGGACTAAAACAAAGGAACACGGTAACTGCAGAGATTTAAATGCTGTGGAAAAAACACTAAAAGGGGCGAAGCCCTGGGAGTGTGGGTCTAATTTAGACTGAGCTGGGAAGATTACCTTTGATCTGAGCTCGGCGGACTAAAGAAAGCCCCTGCTTCACCGATTCAGGCCCAAATAATCTTGCTGCAGTTCTTAAACACCTCCAGCTGTTTTCTTAAGGAGCTCCTTTGTTGAAAATCTTGTTTTCACTTATCTCTCCTGTCCATATCTCTTTGGATAGTGCTTATTAACCACCATCTCAGTCCATCAGGAGTCATCTCTTTCCCCGACTTCACTTTTCTTTTCAGCACGTACGCTTTATGTGTCCTTCTTCCATAAAAACAACAGTAAACTGCACGAGGGCAGAGAAGGTTGGCTATAATCCCCAGGGCATTACACAGTACCTATGACACCGGACGAGGGACGAGGGGAACTCAATTTGTGCTGGTTGGTAACTGTAAACTTGCCGCGTCCGGCTGATGGGAGCCGAGTCCCCCGAGGGACGATGAGGTTAAAGAAAACACAGGATGCTGAGGTTCTTCATCCAGGAGTCTCTCGTTTATTTCCAGCGATCCCTTTATATACCATTAGGCAGTAGGAGTGGAAGATTAAGGCGGGAAAGGAGGAAGTAGGGATTTTCTTTTGCCATACTGCCTGCAGCTGCCAGATGCTGACACTCCCTTACAAGGGAGTGTGCTAGGGCAGAGAAAGGTCAGGTCGTCCCTGTGGCATCTTAGGCAGATAAACACAAGTCTGTGATGGCTTTATCGGCCTGATCACCTGGCCGCCTTGACACACACAACAGGGGGCACATCCCCCGGAGCCCCGGGGATAATGTGCTAACTCGGCACCAACATAAACTTAAATGTAATGAAAAACTAATCATTTCATTTCTGAAAAAACAAACGGGCAAGTGATAGAGCATGAACATAGCGACTTCCTGTTATGGAGCCTTAGGAAAAGCCCGTAGAGCTACGTTGCTCGTTTTTGTTGTGTCTCCCCAGAGAAAGCAAGGAGAAGTCTGCTTCTGTGTTACCCCTATCTCCACAGTAACTGGGCACAGTCAGCTCTGAACTGTCTGTAGATTAAACGGGCGTCTTCCTCCTACCAACACAAAACCAAGCCGGGAGAAAGCCTGGGCCACACTCGCTCCAAATGCTTAGGGGCAGCCCAAAGCACCCTGACTCCCGAAGGAGGGCTCTCCCACCGAAGTTACCGATTCTCCTTTCCGCACAACTGTACAAAATTCGGTCAAAAGCATCACTTTTCAAGAAAAACAACGGAAAGCCAATAGGTCTGCACGCCAGCAAGTGGGAGAGTAAGGAATAAAAACAAAGCTTCCGCGGCGCCCTTCGTCACGTGACCAAAACCCGTCACGTGACTCTAGCACCAGCTCCCGCGCAGGCGCAGTGAACCGCTCCAGTCGCCTTTTTAAACATGGCGGCTCCGCTGGGCGGTATGTTCTCTGGGCAGCCGCCTGGGCCTCCGCAGCCCCCGCCCGGACTTCCGGGCCAGGCTTCCCTTCTACACGCCGCGCCAGGCGCCCCGAGGACTTCAAACAGTACTTTGGTGGACGAGTTAGAGTCATCTTTCGAGGTAAGATGAGACGGGAAGGGGGCTTCTCGTCCTTATCCTGGAGATGCCAGTTGCGCATGCTCAGTTTGGCTCCCGACGCGCTCTGCAGCCTGCTACTGATGGAGGAAACAGGCTCGTCGGACACAAATCACTAGCTTGAGTCTCTGCACTGAACGGAGGCCGGTATTCTGCTCGGGTCAGTTGACGGAGACGCGTAAACTTGATGTTTCTGGAGTGACATGGACTCGATCTGTTGCCGCTCGGTTTTGCCCTTCCCGTTTCCCAGGCGGTTGTACAGATCCCCAGTTTCTCGCCACCCACGAGCGTCCTTTCCCGCGCCCACTTGGCTTTGCTACTGTTTCCTCTCCCCATATCCTTTCCGATCTGTCTCCTTTCCGCTGGGCTTCGCCTTAAACGCTCCTAAAGTAATGGCACCCTTGGGGCTGAAATGGACATTTCAGAGTGGCGGTGCTCAACTTGGTAGTAGGGGCCGAGGAAGGGAGGAGACTGGGGACGTGGGAGGCAGAGCGGACCCAAAATCTTGAGTTCTGCCCACGGAGTTTACCCTGTGGAAGGAAGCCGGGGAGCGGTAGGCAATAGCAAGGTAAAAACAAGTGCTTGGTACGCTTCCAGGGTTTGCTAACCTAGAATCGGAGTTCTCGTTTCCACGTTTTAGATCCTGCTTATGTAGGTTTTACATTGACTATAACCGCGGAGGGGTAGGTGAATGAATATACTTTGTAAGTGCATGTATTGGGAGGCCTGCAAAAATTTTTTACTGATGGATTGTGCGTTCAGAAGTTTGGAGACAACTGATTTAAAAAACAGACAAATCAGCTGTAGCTAGGTGTTTGTGCCATCTTTGGGGTGGTGCTTAAACATTAAATGGAAGGTGTGGGTGAGCGTGAGTGTGGTGGACTCCCACTTTCCTGGAGGTAGCCCTGTCTTGGATGCTTGCTGAAAGGCTGGTGGTGGAAGTCTTGGCCTGTTACTCTTAGGATGAGACGGCGCTGTTTACCCCCCAGCCCTGCTTGTTCAGGCCCCTGCTTCAGGCCCACCTCCTCTTACTCTGGCCAGAGGAGCTTCCACCTCAGCCCACTTCTCCCAGACCCCATTCGGCTTTTTTTCCCACCACCCAGCCACCCCTCTTGTGCATTTCCTGAAAGTCGCAGGTACCTAGAACTCGCTGACACATAGACCTGTGTTTCTGCATCTTTCATTTAGACCTCTTTCCACCTTGTCTTTTTTCTTGGGGTTCCGGTCAGTGCCTACTTCATGCCAAACATATTCCTACACTAGAATACAGTGAACAAGAAAGGCAGAATCTCCACTGGCTAGTGGGGACAGTGGCTAAGGACTGACAGAATGGCGTGTGTCAGCCATTTCAGAAACATTAAGGCTGGGGTTGGGAAGGAGAGTGAGCAGGAGGGGTGTTGTGTCGAAATGGCTAGACAAGGATGGCCTCTGAGGTGACGACCGACTCCTGCGTGGTGACTGACAGGTCGTGCCTGGAACAGGCCCAGCCTGGTGTGCAGTGAGGCCTGCAGGAGCAAGTGGCAGGAGCAAGGCCTCTCAGTCCCAGGCCTGCAGACCCAGCGTACCGGATTTCCTCGTTGGCATGATGTCATCTCAGGGGCAAACCCAGATGTTACCAACTCATTGAGTGACTTGAAGTTAAGGCTTGACTTGTGAATGACATTTTTTCCCTTTTGTGCTGTTTTGATCACACAGGCTTGCTTCGCCTCTCTGGTGAGTCAGGACTACGTCAATGGCACAGATCAGGAAGAAATTCGAACTGGTAAGAATTCCTCCTTTTTAGACAATGGTCTTGTGTTAGCAAGGCCCCAAGCAGTGATTTTACACTAGATGTAATTAAGTCCGGTTTATATCCAGGAGAACCTCAGGGGAATCAGGTCTACGTAGATCTTCTCTGTGTACTTCCAGTTCTTTGTTCGGTTTATTGACATCTTACATCACTCATAACCCACCATTTCATAGTTTTTTTCCTATGGGTCAAAGAAGACCCATACACTTTTTTTTTTTTTTTTAGTAAGTTTTTGCTAATTTTTGAATAGTGTTATCGATAAAATTCTCAACGCGTTCCCTTTCAGGTCCTCTTCGCAGACGTCATGAGTGCGTCTCATTTCTTTGCCTCGTATTTTAAATGTCGTGTGACACGATGCTAATTGCTGGCCCTCTGGGCTGTCTTCAGAACTCCAGGCCTGTGGGTTGTTACAGCTTTTGTATCTTACTCATGTGGTAAACGATGAATTATTTGCTCTTTACTGTCAGCAACACCTGAGGGCTAGGGGTCAGGAACAGGGGCCGAGACCCAGAGCCCGGGTGTGTATGAGACAGTTCCCCTCAGAACGGCTGTCTGTTCCCCTATGGGGCACTAAGTATTCTAGTGTTCTTCCTGATTTAACACTGATTTTTTTTTTTTTTTTTTTTTTTTGGTAGGTGTTGATCAGTGTATCCAGAAATTTCTGGACATTGCACGACAGACAGAATGTTTTTTCCTACAAAAAAGATTGCAGCTATCTGTCCAAAAACCAGAGCAAGTAATCAAAGAGGTACAAACTCGGTTTTCTCCTCAACTTCCAGGAAGAGGAAATGTTGCAGGTTTCCATCTCGCTTTAAGTGAGACAGCCCCTTCCCTGTGGCTCCAGCGGGTTTACACTCAGTGTGAGCGTGGGATGGCTCTGCTCTGCTTGTTTCATCCACTGCCTTTCACTTAAAAAGTCTTACTGCTTGAAAAGGCCGCAGCGAGGTGCAGACGGCGTTGGTGGAGATGAGGAGCCAGGTGCAACTAGAAACTGCCCCTCTCTCTGCCTTACTCCCCGGAGGGCAATGTCATACTCCATTCAAGGACTCAGTAAATGTGCTGTCCCGGCCTCCTTGAATCTCAGCCAGGATTTCATCGATCTGAGTAGTCTGGGAGTGTTTGGGCCAGATGACTGTGACACTTTAGTGGGGCTTCAGTGTGAAGGAGGGAGTGGTAGCGACGCGCCCTGAGAAACAGTCACTGAGCTTGTATCTGGTGGTGGTTGAAGTGACTGCCCCCCAGACTGCTGAGTTCACCCAGGAGGGCTCTGCTCGTTGAATCCAGCTGCCGAGTCGTGAGTGGTAACACGGTGGTCAAGTTCCTCCTGTCCTCCCTGGCCTGGTTACAATACTGGAGTGACAGGAGAGGTGTGTTCAGAGCCAGGTTTTACTATACCTGGTTTTTAAAAAACCTGCCGGAAGATGAGCTTTTGTCTCTATAATAGAATATAATAGATTTTATACTATAATAGAATATTTATACTATGATAGAATAGTGGTTGGGATTCTTTTAAATGGTGGTTGACTCGTGTTCCAGATTCTCACTGTCTTAGAGACTTAACCGTGCCTGGGGCCTAGGGTGGGGGTGAAACTGATTTGCTTTTGGGCCTTTTGCATTTTGTAATTTGTGTTACTTAATAAAAATCATTAAAAACAGGAGCCGGGTTAGAGCACCTTCCCCTGGAAAAGTTGACTTGGGGCATTCGAATTGTGGCGCCCAGCAGAGACATGGGCTCCGTGAGGTTACGTTGAGCCTCTTGCATCACATCTTAGTGCTCGGGCCCACCGGGGACTGTATTCCTTTTCATGAGTTGGCGCTGACCTTACCCTTCGATCTTAGGACGTGTCGGAGCTGAGGAATGAATTGCAGCGGAAGGATGCCCTGGTGCAGAAGCACCTGGCGAAGCTGAGGCACTGGCAGCAGGTGCTGGAGGACCTCAGTGTGCAGCACAGGAAGCCCGCGGAGCTTCCCCAGGGCTCCCTGGCCTACCTGGAGCAGGCGTCCGCCAACCTCCCCGCGCCCATGAAGCAGACCTGAGTCCTGGCGCCCGCGGGTCAGCGCGCGTGACCAGCGGGAGAGCGGGAGAGCCCGGTCGGAGCCAGCGAGTTGTGGGTCCGGGCCCCCTGTTCTATAAGCTGTTGTCTTTGAGAACTTGACAAGATTCCCGTAGCTTCGGTAAAACCATGTACTTTTTTGTCTTCAGCGAAGTTGAGACTTAGGGATTCCTTTCTGTGGATTTTGTTTTTAAGTTTTTTTATTTTTGTATGACTTTTAACTGCCTTTTGTGTTTCCTGTTGTTATGTTCGGTTGTATGACCTGATCAGAGAGTCGGAGGACTATGGCGAAGGTCTTCTTGGCGCCCCTCCGTGCATGGCGAAATACATCAAATTGCTGTTTCAGGACTTTAAACTACCTCAAGAGGAGGAATCTAATGCAGCAGTGTATGTGCTGCTTCCAGAGTCCGCGTGAGGGGCTCTTGTAAATAGGTTGGAAGAGGATTAGAATGTTCTAGGTTACTGTAGACTATTGCAGCAGTATCCTTAAGGTGAGGCTTGCTTGTGCTTGGGGCGAGTTTGTTTACTTTGGGGCGAGTTTATTTACTTTGTTGTGGGGGGGAGGCAAGTGCAGCGGGAGCGGCACTGCTAAACTGGGGTACCTTCTGCATTCACGAACCCCTTTACCTAACAGGCAGACTGCACTGACAGCGACGTAGGGTGAAGGACGAGGGGGCAGAGCTTGCTGTGTTTGTCTCTGCGTCTTGAAGTTGGTTTGCTCTGTCACTGCTTTTGTTTTGATGAGAACTTTCCACTGGGGAAGGTTCTTACTGAGGGCTGGCGTTGATCCGGGGCTGGGGGTGGGCGGCAGGGTGACCCTCAGTGAACTTACCTCTACAGCGTGCTTGGAGGGGCACATTTTACTTGCCTTCGGCCCTGCAGGCCAGCAGGCTTCTTCCTGGGCGCTGTCAGGAGACAGGCGGTCACTGCCTGGGGGCATCCCCTCTCCTGTTCGGTCTCAGATCGCGCCCTGCACCTGCAGCCATCACTCGGGTCTCCAGCCCCTCCCCCCCCACTGTCCCCACAGTTCCTGACTGCACAGTGTGCCATGCTGCAGCCTGCACTGATAGTGCCTGGCACATCCGCACACAGACTTCCTGTCCCTTCCACAGCCCTGCTGGGTTCTCCCTGTCCTGTGCCCCTCGTGGAGCTCGGCATCACCCCTCTCGGGGGCGCGCTTGCCGCTCCCTCCCGGTCTTGTGTGGGCTCAGCTTGAGGTCAGCATTCCCCATGGTCGGATGTACAGGCTTAGCAGACTTTTAAAACAGCTTCAAGGTTGTTCACCTGTTACCATAACGTGATAATCAGAAACCCTGATAGGAAGCTTCAGATTTCTTGACTAAAAGCCAAAACGAATTAAGTTTTAGGCATTCTTTGATAAAGGGCTTCTTGGTGAGAAGACCGAGCACTACATTATCTGGTGCTTCGTGAAAGTATTTTCAATCAGTGTCTGTCATTTATTTCTGGATCCTTTGTTAAAATTACAAGTTTCTGTCAAATAAATGGCAACTTTTCAACCTTGTCTGTTAGAATCTTTCACCTCTTAATGACATCTTGCTGGTGATGAGCTTAGGACGCCGAGCTGCTGTGTCAGCCTTTACTGAACGGGTGACAGGCGCCGCGGGGGCCCCGGGTCTCCCCACCCCAGCGTGCTGAGCCCCGGCCCCTCGGGCTGGCTTTCCCTTGCTCAGCTGCTAAGTGCCCATCCGGTTGCACGAGCTCTCCACAAGCTGCTCACCTGTGGGGCTCATCCCCTCGGTCACTTCACACACACACACACACACACACCCCGTCTGCCGGTGGCTCATTCCCGGCAGCTCACAGGCTGCCACGCGTGAACGCCGGTGCCCCTCACCATTCTCCCTCTGCAGCTGCCCTTGTGCCCGCCCGCCCCAGCTGGCTGTCAGCACAGCGCCGCGGCCGCAGGAGAGCACACGTCACGTCACCTTTACTTTAATAAAGGGCCTCTTTATTAAAGTACATCTCAGCACATCTTCCCTTTTGCTTCTACACCACCTCCAACGTGACATTCCTGGGGGTTTGGGCCTGGCTCTGGGGGCCTTGGAGGGGTCCTGTGCCGCTGTGAGGGTGCAGTTCCCAGAGCTCCCACCTTCCCACACAGCAGCTCCCACCCGGGCCTCCTGAGTGACCCGCTCAGCTGGCTCAGGGCTCCCCCAGGGGAGCAGTCTGCTCGGAGGCACCTGTCTGCCGGCTTGAGAGCTCTCTGAGGTGTCTCCTCTCAGCCTGTTGCCCAAATCTGCCCTGGTCCCCTCACAGGCAGAGGCCCTGCAGGGTAGTTTGAGGGCTCCTCCCACGCTCCTTTCCCTCACCCTTGGCTCACAGCTGTTTCTCTGCTCCCAGTAGGAGGGAGACTTGCCCCAACATCCTGCCACGTCATTCTAGTGAACAGTCTCAAGACCAGCCTCGGACAAAGGTGCTCCAAGACCATGGCAAAGTGACACAGATCGTTGTATAATTCTAAGCGCAAAAAGTACTGTGCCCCCACCTCCCCCCTCCCCCCAAATACCAACTTTTGTTGACCGGTGCTACTCTGTCCCTGAAGCTCTACTTTCTTGGCAGCCCACACACCACCAAAATCCTCACAAAGCTAGTCATCACAAGCTGCATGCTGGCAGGTGTTTCCGTGAACAAAAGCAGAATTACTAACTTGTAATCTTTGAAAAACAAACCGGCAAAGCTCCTGGGCCTGAATAGAGACAACTACACACACACACACACACAAACACACACGAAATCACTTGAAAATTCCTGTGGCATGTGGCGTGTCTGGTAGTGCATACTTCCATTGAAAATATTCATGCTATGTGTTTTGATTAAACAGCATATTTACCTTTAAATCGAGAGCGTGAGTCGTAATTGCCTTTCTCGAGTGATGTCAGTCTTAAACAGCTACTTTTGATCTGGAGAAGAGGTGAAGTTAATGTGAACTTTCACTCCAGGCTGGCTTCATCCCATGTCACCTTTCTATGGAGAAATAATACAAGCCACCATCATCTTTATTGCCCAGTTATTTGAGGTTTTATTCAAAGAGCAAAGATTTGACAGTGCACAGAATAAACTGTTTAGGGCCCCATGCCGGGCCAGCACCAAAGGATGGAGAATACATTTTGCCCAATAAAGTTGTATTGAGGCGAGTCTTAATTGCACGGGGACCCCCACCCCGCCCGGCAGGTGTGAGCCGACAGCAGCCGGCACCGCCAGCTCAGCCACGTGTTGGAGGCTGACTGCCCGGCCACGCCACACGTGGAGGACAGTCCACACCCAGAGCAGGAAGCTCAGTAGATCTTTGACTCCAAACAACAGCTGGTCTGGAAGCCTTCACAGCTGAGCACGTTGCACTACAGGCATTGAAACGGAACTGTTTTACCAGGGAGAACCACGTCTTTCCTGGTTACGTGGAGCTTTGTCTCATTTTCTATTGAGGGGAGATGTACATTTGCAATTACATCACTTACACAGAAACATCTTTTCAAGCGGAGATGATCATCCTAAGGAAACATGAAACCACTTTTTAAAGGGAGACCAGGAAGTCATCTGCTATCCCACAAAGAGGACACCACCTTTCAGACACTACAAATACAACAGTCAACCCCCAGTGGCGTGACCCTTGGCCCGTGGTTACACTGGTTTATCTTAATGTTGAGAATTTTCTGTAAGGAACTGGTGTCACTATGAAAGAGTATGAAATGTTAGCACCGGAACTTCGCGTGGCCGCCACATACGAATCACATTACAAGCAAGTTATTTGGTTGATTAGTGTTGATGTCCATCCTCTCAATCAGATGCTTTCAGAGAAATGTCCTTCAAATGTCCTTGTGACATGTATCCCGAGGACGAGTTCAGAAGGAAAAGTACTTGGTGAACCATTCCTGGGGCGCTGAGCCCTGCTTCTGCTGGGCTTCTTTGGGTTGGGCTGTTTCACCATCTTGTGGCCTGGAAACAAACAAGCAGATTTCTTAGATGGTGCTGAAAATCATTCAAACAACTTGATACTCAACCATCTCTTCATGGAAAGACAATGGCTGCTGGACTCTTCAGGAGACCCGAGTGGGCGTGTGCTGTGAAGGCTGGGGGTGGAAGGAGCTTCCAAGTCCAGCTTGGAAAACAGAAGGGACCCATTGTTTTATGGGAGACCGGTATTTTGCAACATTTACTATTTGGTTCAGGTGCAAATTAAACAATAAACTATAACGACAGTAAAAGAATGCGTGGTTCAGCAGCTCAGCATGGTGATTTATGCTTCTCAAACATTATCTGAGGTGACTGAGCTGCTCCTTGATCAGGCTGTGACATGAGCCCGATACGTTAAGAAGGAGAAACAGCAGAAATAGACAGGGGATGCCTGCCTGAGTGGCCTCTACATTTGTGACACTTTCTAGGAAAAGGAGAGACGTGGCTTTCAACAGGTACGCGAAATAGTGGGGCTCTTCTGGTTAACGGGGTGCTTGGGGGTGCAAGCAAAGGGCCCCTCAACCACCCCACCATGTCCAGGGGCAGGCCTGGCCACTGAAAAAGGAACATTTTCAAAGGACCCCTTTCTGAAATGTAAACTTCAAAGCCCAGAGTTGAGAATTCTGCTCTGAAAGAAGGGCTGGGTAGGAACACACATGGACAAACAGGAAAAGTGCCTGCCCTGGAAGGCGAGTGCAGAGAGCCCATTTGGGGGGAACAGGTGGTTAGCTCATCACACGCATGATCCGCCACAGGATAAAAGGCCCGACGCTCCTGAGATGGTGTGGTAAGCCGGAGCAACAGGCTTCCTGGCAGAAGCGCACTAACGCTGCTGTGCGTTAGTCTATCCTGGGTCCATCCCGTGAGCTGATTTCTTAAGTTTCCGTCAGGTGAGGTAGGGGGTAGCTTATCTTCATTTTCTTAAAAGATTTATTTCTATCTGTGCACACAGGGGTGGGGTATAGGCCAGAGGTGTGGGGGTGGGCATGATGAGAGGGTTTACTAGAGACAGCAGGGAGCAGAACGGGTGGATCTAGTGAAACACGCTGCTGAGGGGAGCAGCGGGCGAGACGGGAGAGGTCTGCTGCGCCATGTGGGTCCCTCCCTGGCCGGGGACTGAACTCGCGCCACCAAGGTAGGGGATACCTTGATAGCACCAAGACTTTAACTCCCACACCTCAGGGAGGCTCTGTCTTCATTTTAGAGGTGAGGAAACGAGTCTCAGAGAGGGCAGGCGAGCAGCCCACAGTCACACAACTAAGAATCCAGACCCCAGCCTGTCACAGGTATCGATAATCCACCTGTGTGACCCACACTGACCTGACCTGACCCATTTGGTGGCCTCAGTCTTACCACCCTGTAAAAGGTTCTGGAACTGGGTGCCAGAAAGGGTACCTCTCTCAGAGAATGGCACAGTTCCCTTTGCTGACGCAACCCTCCCTTCCGAGTGGGCCGTAATTTGTCTGAGGCAGGACTTGTGCTGCAACTTCCTGTATCTGCACAAATGCCAAGAAGAAACCTGAATCTCCCTCTGGCACACAGGGAGAGGAAGCCCAGCCCCGCCCCTACCTGGTGGCGGCTCTCACATCTAGAGACTGGCTGGGTTTGTACGGCCGGCCACAGCTGGGGCCTGGGTCCAGGCTGGGGGACTTGGTTATGGGGGGGGCATTGATCCTCGCGCTCAGGTCGCCGCTCAGGAAGTTCTTGGCGTAGGAAGCCAGGTTGGGCACGCTCACCACCCGGCTGGGCACCTCCTCCATCTTCTTTTTCTGCATGAGGTACATGAAAGGCCCGTTAGTGCCACTCCAAAGAGTCAGTACTGCAAGAGTCAAGCTGAGGAAAGTCAGGACACAAAAGAGACAGGATTCCAGAATTACTCTAGAGATGGGATTGGGAGAGCAGTGCGCGCGTGCGCGCGCGCGCGTGTGTGTGTGTGTGTGTGTGTGTGTGTGAGAGAGAGAGAGAGAGAGAGAGAGAGAGCGTGTATGCATGTGTCCAGGAAGCATTTAAAGATGTTCAAAGGACTACAGCTTCCTCATTTCCTAGACAAAGGCAGCCAGGCATTTCACTTTCAGAGATGCAAAAGATGAGAAAATAAGCTATAAGAGGTTAGAGGTACATAAACATCAAAGCATTTCATACAATCAAAAGATCAATAAACAAGAACAAAAAATGGACCCAGACAAGACACCTCGCCAAGGACAGATGCATACGGCAGAGAGCCACATGGAGAGAAGATCACTAGGGAAATATAAGTTAACATTACGAGACACCGCCACACTCCTATTCAAGCGCCAAAACCCACCAAGTAAAGTGGGGTGAGGGGAGTAACAGGAACTCAGTCACTGCTGGTGGGTCACAACACGGCACAGCCACTCTGGAGGATATTTGGCCAATTTCTTAGAAAACGGAACATACGCTTACCAAAAAGAAAAATGGGAAATGAGGCCTATCCAGCCAGGCTGACGGGGTGCGGAGGCCACTTTATTCGTAAAGTAAAGTGATTGTTATGTGAAAGCATGGTCTTCTGTCATTTGCTTGGTTTTTGAAAAACACACAGGCTCCCAATTGCTAATCAGAAACTTCTGGGGAATCTGTCGTGCAAATTCAACTTTCTTTTTAGATTTTGGAATGTGTCATATATCCAGCAGACATCTTGTCCCCTATTTCTGGGATGAAGCATACACTTTGTCACAGTGAGAGAGTGCTGTAAAGCCAGGAATGAACCCCAGTTTTGGTGTCTGCTGGATACGGACTCAGACAGTGAGGACTTTTCTCTCTGGGGGACTGAGAGGTGGCTGTTTGTCTGATGTGATGAGGTTTAATAGGTTTGACTGATTCTACTAGAATTCAAACAACTTGAAAGCTAGCCTGGATTTCCCCAAATTTCAAAACAATAATGGCATAACCAGCAACAGCAATGGGCCAGACGCTGCAGCTGGAGCTGTGGCTTTGGGCCTTCTGTCAGTCCAGCTCAGGCTGGGTGTGTTGTTCTGTGAGCTATAAAAAGGTCCTAATTTCCTGTAGCAGTTTTTGCTAGCAGATGAGAGATCTGGATGTGAACTGTAACTTCCCCAAACAAACAAGGAAATAAAGTTAAGAAGTGCAAGATTTCTGCTCTAGTCCCTCTCCGCCCTCCCGCACCCCCCCCCCAATCAACTCTAGCAGTCACTGACAGTGACACCCTCGTTTATGGGAAATTTGGGCAACACAAACGCCCATAAAAAGTTCAAATTCGGGCCCTCCCTGTTGGCGCAGCGGGTTAAAACGCAGCACTAAGAATCTAAAGCCACTTCCGCATGGGTTCGATCCCCGCCTGCCCCGGAGGTGACCACATGGCGCGGCAGACCTCTCCTGACCTGCCTGCTGCTCCCCTCAGCAGTGTACTTCATGGATCTGCCTGTTCTGCTCCCCACTCTGTCTCTGGTGGAGCCTCTCACCCTCCGCCCCTGCATCTCTGGCCTGTACCCCAGTTCTGTATGAATAAATATTAAAAAAAAAAAAAGTTCAAATTCACATAGTTCACCCAGATACACACACACACTGTCCAATACTTGCAGACCCTGTTTTCCAGCAAACGCCTGGAATGCACCTGGACCAAGCTGGTGGCCTTACCTTCATGGACGGGGTCAGGTACCCGGGGTGAGGATTGAAAGAGAAGGAGCGATTCCGGTGGGAGACGGCGCCGGGGAAGGCCGCGCAGTGAAGCCTCCGCTCCTCCTGACAGGGCAGACAAGTGTCAGAGCAGGCGCATGACGGCAGAGGAAGGCCAGGGAACCAGGCTCCCCCCCTCGGACGGTGGGGGCACCTGTGGGGTGTCCAGGCCCCTCTGGCAAAGGAAGGGCCTGCTTGCTTGGGACAGCACAGCAGACAGGGGAGACCTCAGCCCCCTCAGCCTCAGAGAGGAGCTTTCAAGAGTCTGTTCAAGTTAAGGGCAAGGATGGGAAGCCCCCAGGGCCTGGTGAGGGCCTCACCGCCTGTGCCACTGTCCAGTTTTCTGTGCTGACTTATGGCTAAGCAAATTCCTGTGTCTGTGAAACCACTGATACCTATCTCAAAGAGAAACTTCTTTTTAAAAAACAATCCCCCACCCTCCCCAAGTGACCGCAGTGAAGGTGGCCCTCAGCAAGTGAGGGCGGCCGGGCCAGGGGCTTGCAGACAGAAGGGCCTAGGGGCCTAACAATGGGAGTTATGAGAGCTGTGTGTGTGGAAGAGGGGGCTGTGTTTGAGTCTAAAGCCAGGGCTGAGGTGGCCGGGACGGGAGGGGGCGGGCTGGCTGGCTGCAGGGGCGAGGGGCTTCCCAGGACAGGCCGGGGCTTGGGTGTCTGCCGATCCGGAGTCAGTGAGTGGGAACCCTTCTCTTTGGGGACTGGAAGGTGGCTGATTGATTTGACTTGGGTTTGATTGATTTACTAGAATCCCAACGCCCTGAATGCTAGCCTGGATTTCCCCAAATTCTAAGATAACGGTGATAACCGCCAACAGCGACGAGGCAAACGCTCAGGGTTGGGGCAGTGGCTTCTGGGCCTTCTGTTTTCCTGTGTGAAAATTTTTAGCAGGGTTTTGGTATTGGATTTCATAGGAAAGTCACCCCAGGAATCCTTTGTAAGGAGTTTTATGGTCAGGGGGCCAAGCTTTCTCCAGGTGCAAAGTGAACTCCCCCACCCCCAAAAGGATTGCACCAGCGGCTGGCCAGGCGCCCTCGCCCTGCCCTCACCGAGAGCTGCTTGATGATCTCCTCCCTCTCTTTCAAGAGGCTCTGCAGGCGGCCTATGAGCTGCAAGTCCTCGGGCCGGGACGCCCCCTTCCCTGGCTTCTCCCCGGAATCTTTCAGCCTGTTTCAAGCAAACATGGTGTTAGTCCTTTCTGCACCTGCGCCGTGAGGAGGGAGAAGAAGACGCGGAGGGCGCCCTGCGGGGTGCTTGCCTGACCAGCTACTGCTCTTTGTCCACCTGAAGGGACACCAAGGCCCTCTGCACCTGCAGCTCAGGGCCTCCCAGCGCGTTAGCTGTTTGCAGAGCTGTGGGGAAAGCCAGGACCCCAGCTCTCGGCCTGAGGCCCCGGGCTGCGGAGCTGTGCCGAGGAAGCACGGATGCTGCGCTCCCCGGGGCTCGGAGAAGCAGTTGCGGCCAGTCACCACCCTCCCCAGGCCCGCAGCTTCCGAGACCGCTCGCGGGGCTCTGGCGCCATCTGCTGGCCATTCCGCAAATGGCACGAGTAAGTCCTGGGGGAGGGGGCGAGTGGGGCTGGGGGAGAGGGGACAGGTACCCACAGGCCTTCTCCACAGGAAGCCAGAGAGAAGGAACTCCCAGATGGTGGGTGCAGAGGACCCAGAGACTGTCACGGAGGCCATGGCCGTGTAGTCTTTGACTTGAGCTCTAATCCCATCTCTGCTTTTTTTCTAGCTCTGTGACGCAGAATTTCACCAGGACCCTCAGTTCCCCCTTTAAAAGGTGCAGGAGGGCCCTCCCTGGTGGCGCAGTGGGTTAAAGCACAGCACTGATGATCTAAAGCTGCTTCTGCATGAGTTCGATTCCCACCTGCCCCGGAGGTGGCCATGTGGAGGTGGCCATGTGGAGGTGGCCACATGGCGAGTCAGACCTCTCCTGACCCGCCCGCCCACCACTCCCCTCAGCGGTCTACTTCGTAGATCTGCCTGTTCTGCTCCTCTCTCTGTCTCTGGTGAATCCTCTCACCCTGTACCCTAGTTCTATATGTATGAATAAATAAATAAATCTTTTTAAAAAAATATCTTGGTTAAAAAAAAAAAAAGGTGCGGGAAATGGTGGATGCCAGAGAGCGGTCCCTGTGTGGTCCCTGGCACCTGCTATGTGATATGAGCCCATTCGATGGTAGCCAGTGAAGCCTTTCACTCCAGATTTTGGGTAACTCGCTTTCCACTGCAGACAGTGGTGAGCCGGTTTTAAGAAAGCAAAGGGTTTAAATTCACTTACTGCCGCTTCACTTTGGGCAAAGGACCTCAACTGTCTGGACCTGGATTGCTACCTCCCCTCCCACCGGCAGCCCCCATCTCTTCTCTGTGCAGTCAGAAGTGACCCCGCTAAAAGGTAGGTGAGGCCATGTCAGTCCTGCTCAGAGCCTGGCCCTGGCTTCCCCTGGTACTCAGAACACACCCAGATGCCCTCCAGGGTTTCGCTCCCATGGGTCCCAGCTAACCGCCAAGGTCAAATCCTACCACTCACCTGCTCACTCATCCCCCTGGAGCCACAAGGGCCTTCCGGCTATTGGTCAGGTAAAGCAGCCCCAGGTATAACCCCCACCCCCTTGGGCTTAAGCCCCCTTGAAAAAGCCCTCCTTGCGCACTCCTTCCACTCTCCGGAATCAGGTCCTTCCATCAGCTGACCTGAAGGGAAATACTTGCTGCTTGTTATTTCTAATGTGCGCGGGCCTGTGTGGGCTGCAGGGGCACTGCTCCCCGCTGTAGCTCCAGAGCCTAAGATGCGCAGGGCACATACTCACTCTGAGTGAATAAACAGCTGCAGACTAGGGGCCACGAGCAGGTGGGTCGCCCCAGTAGAACGGTACCGCCAGTCCCGCTGTGCCCCGCTTACTCGGTCTCCAGGGCGGCCAGCCGGGCCTGCAGGCGGGCCTGGGCGGCGCTGAACTCCGCCACCATGGCCTGCATCTCCTTCCGGTGTTCCTGCCGCAGCAGCTCCACTTCCCGGGCCCGCTGGTCCTCCCCCGGCGGCCTGCAGGTGGACAGAAGCACAGGGGGCTTGTTCGGTTCGTGGGGCCGAGCCTCTTGGACCCTGGGGTTCCCCCATCTGCTGGGTGCAATGAGTGGGGAAGAAGAGGTGCATCTGAGGTGAGGACCACATGGGAGGGAGACCTGGGGTCTCTGAGTTGCAGGTTCATAAGTCCATTTTGTGGGGCCCCTTCTCAGCAGTTCCCACCCCACATTCACGGAGGGTAAATCGGAGCAAGAGCAGTGTCTGGACGTGGAGCACGTCCCGGCGGGGCCGGGCTCCCGGAAAGCTCTCTCAGCTGGGCAGCCCGGGGTCTGGGCCACCACTACGGAACAGCGGGTGCTTTGACATGTGGGAGACAGTCCTGGGTGGGAAGGCTGCTGGCGTGGTGTGGGCTGGGAGAGCGGAGCGAGCCTCCGCCGAGCTTCCGAGCTGCGAGGCCTCGGGTGAGCGCACTGGCTCAGTCTCTTTATCTGCTCAGTGGAGGTGACATAGCGCCTCCTCACAGGGTTACCACAGGCCGAATCATGCTAACCCTCCCGCAGAACAGTCTGTCTGCAGCCACCAGCTGTCATTTCTCTTAACCTAGGGTAGGACACTGGGGACCCACAGACCACCCGCAGGGGCCTGTCACCCTCAGAAAGCACATGTGCATGCCGGTGTCACTCCATCCCCTGGTGGGGGCGGGGGGAGCTGTGACCCAAGCCATTAGGGATCCCTCCTCTGAGCTGACCCCCTTATGCCAGTGACCTGCCCAGGTCAGTAACTGGACTTGAGGAGCCCCAGCTTGGCCAGGTGGGCACAGGCTGTCTTCCGCATGAGCCCGGGGTCTCATTCCACGTTGGGCGACTCTATGCCAGGGGGTTGGGGAGCCGGGACACTCCAACATGGAGATGAAATGGGAAAATGCCAAAGCTCCCCCAAGGAGAAACAGACCCTGGAGAGCCCTGCACCCTAACAAAATCACATTTGCAGTGATAAACCTGCCAGAGGCAGAAGGGCGGGGGAGGAGCAAGGTGACCAGGCAGGTGGCAACCAGAAGGGCCCTCCCTGGTGGCGCAGCAGGTTCAGACGGCACTGTGATTTAAAGATTTAAAAAACCAGATGAGGAACCTCTGACCTACACCCCAGTTCTGTCTGCATAAATAAATAAATCTTTTAAAAGAAAAAAAAAAGTAAAAACATGGAAGCAGCCCAGATGCCCAAAAGTAGATGACTGGATTAGAAAGATGTGGTACATATACACAATGGAATATTACTCAGCAACCAAAAAAGAGAAACACATGTCTTTTGCAGCAACTTGGATGGAGCTGGAAAAGATCATGCTGAGTGAGATAAGCCAGAAAGAGAAAGAAAAATACCGGATGGTTTCACTCATAGCAGGAGTATAATGGACCAGGCGAGAAAATAACAAAAATAATGAACAACCATAGACCAGAGACATTCTGTGGGGGTGGAGTGGGGAATGGGATCAAAAACGGGGGGGGGGGAAGGGAGGGAAATGCACGGGACTATGGTGGTGGCACAGGGGTGATTTGGTGATGGGAAACCCGTGGGGATTACAATTGAGATGAAAAAAAAATGTGCAAAATGATGTAAAAATAAACTTTTTAATAAAAAAAAAATCAAAAAAAAAAAAAAAGAAAGAAAAAAAAAAGTGGCTGTCCAACCAGATCAGGAGGGGAGACTGCCCACCGCATTGACTGGCTGCATTCCACACCTGGCCATGCCAAGCCCGCAGCACACACCTGTCTGTGACCTGCAGCAGCGGGAGGGGGCGATTCCCAGGTGGGGCCACAGCGAGGGAGGAGCGGATAGCACTGCCTGGACACCCCCTCGCGCTCCTCCCTCAGACAGGCTTCTGGAGTGCTTCGGGTTTGCTTAGGTCCAGTTCTGTACACGCCCTGGTTCTCAGGGGCCCGGGATGCCTGCCACCGGGCAGGGGAGCCTGGAGATCTCGAGCCCCCTGCACCCCAGGAATTTCCACCGGCCATGGCAATACCAGTGGAAAGCTAAGAGTAATGCAGGGGTGTCCTCTTTGGGGAGACCCCAGTGGGGGCCGATTTTAGACCCCCCCGTCACCGGAGGGCGTGGGCAGTGTCGGGGCTGAGGTGGGAAGCTGGCGGGGTGCACACCCACCTGTGGGGGTCCCCGGAGGGCAGCGCCTCCCGCTGCAGTGCCTCCAGCTCAGCCTGCAGCCGCTGCACCGCGTCCTTGAGCTGCGCGTTCTCCTCCCGGAGGCCTCCTCCCTCGCTCGGACCTTGGTCAGTGGCGCTGACTGGGGAGCCCGTCTGGCCAGTGCCCCCCGCATCCTGGTGAGAAAGCACCAGGGAGAGATGTTTCAAGGGATGCAATGCAGACAAGGCATGGGGGGGCTGGGGCGGTGCTGTGCCCCGGATGCTGGAGCAGCCGGAGCGCAAACATCCCTTGACACAAGCTGTGCAACTTCTGTCGACTGACAGATTCCGGGTGGTGGGGGGAAAGCTCTGAAAAATCAGAATTTCCATTGCTAACTTGTGTCACAACCTGCCTTTTTTGTGTAATCATAATACCAAAAGTATGCTGAGCAACATCAGTTTGCAACTGGATTGCCTTAGCTTCAAATTGGCTACCTGAAGGGGAGCCCAGGGCAGGAAATTCCTCTGTATCTGGAGACAAAAGGCAAACTCCAGGAGACATAAGACCCCCCCAGAGCATCGGGGCTCATGGGACCCTTCCTTGGTATTTTATGACAACAAGCAAATCTTAGATACAACTCCCAGGGCATAAGGACCCATGGAAAATTTCCTAACATTATCGACACAGGTTTTGCTGAATACATAACTATGTGACTTCCTCTTAATTTACCCTTTTCTTAAACAATCTTTAACTACTCTCTGCTAGTCTTAATTCACTTTTTCCTAAAACAAACACTAGCTACTCTCCGCTAGCCTTAAGTTAGCCATTCACTTTTCTCTACACTATCACTGATGACTCTGCTAACACAATTTATTCCTTCTCTAGGACTCCTAAATCCCTTGCTAACATCCTTTCCCTGACCCCTTATCCTTTGAAGTCATCGTTAAACATCCGCATACATGAAAATTATCACCAAGATGTACAGTCTAGTGCGCCATAAAGAGACAGGAAGAGGATGCATGTTCCCCTCTTCCTTTAGAACTTTATGTTGATTTCTTATTAACTTACCTGATGCATTATTGTAACTAACTCTTGCTAAACAGTATAAATAAAGACCTGCTGAACAGATAGGCAGGAAGACTTGCACCCAACTCCCACTCCCCTCCCCATCTCTAGGAATCGCGGCTCCCTGACGCTGCTCCCACCTAATGGCCCTGCCCTCTGACAGCCGGTGATCGCCTGGTCCCGTCAATGCCTGCTTTGGAGTTAGCCAGGCTGGCCTGGGAAGCGCAGCAATGCAGGGCAGACCAGGACGCGGCTTAAATCGGGTTCAGCCGGACATTTCCCGTTCTCATGCATCTAGCCTGGCGCTTCAGGAGTGACAGGTACCCGCCGCCCGTTCTGGTGCACCCGTAGAACTGTTCTGGCTGGACAGGACTTAGCTGCTGCCATGATGTGTGGGAACACAGCGACAGGCCGGTGCCCCTCGGCCTCTCATCCTCCTTGCTACTCGCTAACATTTCTCTGTGCAGGTTACCAGGGAGGCCTGGCTGGTCCTCACAGAGGGCCCAGCGCTTCCCCAGCCAGGGAAGGTGAGGCCTGGCGGGTGGGCGGCTCGCTCATCCACCCCATGCTCCCTGGCTTCACCGTCTAGTTCTCAGGTGGAAGGAGGGGCCCCCCACCCCAATTCCAGACGGGGGAGGATGGAGCGCCCCGAGCCCCGATCTGCTCCTGTGGGCACGGAGGTGGCGGACAGGGGTGCTGACCTCTGTGGCGACGGTGGGGTCCTCGCTGTCCCCTGGACACGGGGCGCTGGCCTGCTGCCTGCCCAAGCTGCCCAGAGCCCTCAGCTCTGCCTGCAGCACCTCCAAGTCTTTCTGGTGCTCAGCACAGGCCGCCCGCTGCTCCGACAGCTCCTTCCGAAGGGCCTCTGGTGGGAGAGGGTGGGAGCTCAGGCAGGGGAAGGCTGAGGTGTCCCGAGTGGCAGCCCCGGCGGAGGGCTCCAGGCTTCAGTGGGTCCCCAAACTTAAGGTGACAGTAACAACCGAACCGCGGACAGGCCTTCCTCAGCGTACAGGGGCCATAGCCCCATCACCCCACCCCAAGGAAAGCAAAAACGTCCTGATCGCATAGAACGCGCCTGACCCACCGAGGGTCACGGTTTGGCTGCCTGCTTTAGGCACGTCAGAGCATGGCCCCCTCGCTGTGGAGCCGGGAGAGCCCTGTCAGTAAGGACTGTGCTAACGCTCAGTGTGCCAACGCCTTGGAAGCTGTGTCCATTGAGCCTGGCAGTCATCCTGTCTCTCCCCACTTCATGAGCGAACTGGCCTCAGAGAGGGTCAGTAAGTAGCCCAGAGCCACACAGCACCTGAAGTCAACTTCAGTAGCTCAAGTGGTCCCTTTCACTGCCGAGCCCCGGCTGGCTGGGTTGGAGGGGCGGTGGGCCAGGGTGTGGCAGCCTAAGGCCAGCACAGGGTCCTGAGATGCACTGGGCTTCCGCAGAGAACCAGGGGGAGACGGGAGTTATCAGCGGACCTGGGTTATAAGCCTCACGCTAGGTTCTGGTTTATATCTCAGCTCTTACAGAGATAAGTTCTCTGTTACAAGTTCTTCTTCCATGAGTGTGGGGCCTTGGCGGGCTGGTGAGGCAGGAGGCCACTGCAGACTCCTAGTGTTTCGCCTGGGGCAAAGCCAGAATCATCCAGGAGAAAATGTGCAGGCCCTCCTTCACTCAGGAGGGAAAAGTGAAGCCAGAAATTGAATTTCTGCTCTGCGGATAGCGGGTGACGCCTGCTGGCCTAACTGTGCCCCGAGAGGTAGCCCAGCACCATCAACGATGAAGAAACAGTAGCTTCAAACTGAGTCATTTCTGACTCAGTAGATGTCTTCAGTGAGCTAATAAATTTTAAAATGGAACTATTTTAAGTGCCAGTAAATTTGGTACTTTCCTGTTGCGACCTCTGAGCATCTGTCCTCGCTATGGGGTGACCGTCCCATAGCCCACACAGACCCTTGACAGCGCTGTGGCCGGACTCAGGATGCTGAGTCTTCTGTCCACCACAGCACCAGGCTGCCTTGGGGTCAGCGGGGCCAGGGAGGGCGTGACAAAGACATCTGTCCCTCTGGGTGTTAGAGTCACCAGGAGTGTCCAGTCTGGTCTGGACTGGGGGGTCTTGTGCCTGAGCCTCCCAGCACAGCCTGCGTTTTATCTCGGGGAGCACATCTTCCTTAGATGCTGCTAACTTTAGTATCTGCCCCGGGGACCCCTCCCTTCCAGGGTGGCTGCTACCGGGGGACCTGGGGAGCACTCCCCTTCCTGCTCCCCACATCACTCTCCAGAAACGAGCGGTCAGTAGACCTGCGGTCTAGGGGAGACCCGGGCAGGCAGCAGCAGATCTTACTGCGAAGCAACTGCCTTTCCCCAGAATTCCCTTAACAGCAACATTGCCTGAAGAGGCTCGATTAGGCCAGTGTGGCCTTTAATGGTTCGCACGAAAGAGGACGGGAGCGTGTAAGAGGAAGAAAGAAGATAAAAGTGATGGAGAAAATGTGGGCGAGATGATCTCTAAAGCGCAAGACTTCTGGAGGCAGCTGTGCCACGCAGTCACGGCGAAACTGCAGAGCTGTCCTGCACGGCCGCCCTGCACCCCAGCCCTGCACCCCAGCCCAAACAGCCATCAATAATTCTACTAACAGCCCAACAAGTGGACACCATAGCAACCCCCATTATTCACAGATGAGGAACTAAGGCACAGAGCAGTTCTGTACTTGCCCCAGGTCACAGTCAGTGAGGACTGCGACCACCATCCCTGGGCCCAATTATCGTGCCAGGCACGTGACACTCAACATCAGGCCCACACCAGCCTGAGGAGAGAGGTCAGTTGTAGCCACTGTAAATGCGGCCGAGAGTGTCCACTCTGGGTCTCGCAGCTGGCTGGTGTCTGAGGCAGGGCGGACTGTAGGCCTGAGTGCTCCAGCCTCCCTGGCCTGGCTGCTCGTCCCCCCGGAGGATGCCCATGGCTACCTAGCAGCAGAGCCTGCTGGCCTTGCATCCTCTCCAGCTGCCCCTGGAGCTCCTGCTGGGCCTTTTCCTCCAAGGCCTGGAGCTGCAGCTGATGTGCCTGGCGCTGGAGCTGGAGGCTGTGGCTGGATTTCTTCTTCAGGCGCTCCTCTGTGGCCTGTGGGCAGAAGTGCGGGCAGAGGCATGAGGATGGGCTCAGAAGGGGAGACCTGGTGCCTCTGGCAAGCTCCTCTGTGCGGGCCCTGTGGCACACACCCTCCCTGGACAGCTTATTCCGCGACAGTGGATGAGGTCCCGCCCCTCCGGGATGACAGCGATGGCTTGACCACAGCAGCTGTTTTGTGTCGTGTGACTCTACCTCCTGACTGGACCAACCTGGGCCACTCATTGGGAATTGGGTGTTAGGAGGAGGGGGAAAGAGAAAGCAAGTCAGACTGACTGGTTGGCTCCAGTTTCAACACACGCAAGAGGCGCCTTGCATCTGACCCAGGACCAGAGAGGCAGGAGGAATGTCTGTGACGGGTCCAGGACCGGTGTCTGAGCACAGAAGAAACGGTGGGAGTGAGGACCCACGGATTTCACACCCCCCAGTCTACAAGGTTCCTGAGTTGAGTCTCTGCCCTGGGTTCATTTTCATGCCTCATCTTTTATCCAATCATTCTTTCACGCAGACATCCATGAACTGGGGAGCTGTTATGTGTCAAACACTCAGAGAAGATGCAGCCCAGTACTTTGATATGCAGAAGGCACCAGGAGCCAGTGGGAGTGGGTGGCCTCTGGCAGCTGGAAAGGGCAGAACCACCCTCCCCTAGCACCCCAGGAGGGCCACCACCACCCATGCCTTGGTTTCAGGGACTCTGGCCTTCCGGGAGTGTCTGATAATACATCTGGAATGTCCTGTCACCAGGGCAATTTGCTACAGGAGCAAAGAAAACTAATACAGTCGGCCTTTTCCAACACGGAAAATTGAGGGTCCCACTTTCAGGTGAGTATGTTGAGGCTGGGAGAAACGAATGACCCATCCCAAGGCCGCACAGGTACCATGCGGGAGTGATTAATACCACCACCTCGTCTTCTGAGAGTCAGGACATCAGGGCTGAGGGCTGGAGTGGGTGGGGTCCCCCAAGAGGCTGTGGGGACACAGCCCTGGGCTTGGGGGTCCATGCAGGGGCAGAGCAGACAGCTGAGCCCAGGCTACCCCCAAGGCAGGTGGGGAGAAGCAGCACAGAAGGCCCCACAAACTCTGACTCCTTGGTGTGTGGCCCTTAGCAAGTCCGCAGGGCCTCCAGAGCCACTTCCCTCATTTGGAAAATGGATGATAATGGATAAAAATGGCTCATAATGACTCTGTGGGGCTTCAGTGGGGGCTGGAGAAGGTGGACGAGAAGCCAGGCGTGGCGGGTGCTCAGTGAGACGTGGACTGGAGCGCAGGCCTCACCCAGAGTTCCTGCTGCTGGGCCTTCTCCAGCAGGCGCAGGGCTCGCTGGTGGGCGGCCCCCACCTGTGCCTCAGCCGCCTGGTTCTGCCGCACCGTCTCCTGGAGCTCACGCTGCAGCTTCTCCCTCTCCTGCTTCGAGAGATCCCTGAGCTGCTGCAGGTCCTCCCGGTAGCTGCTGGCGCACTGCTCCAGGGCCTGCTGCATCTGTGAGAGCTGCCGGGCACTTGGGTCAGTGTGGGGCTTCATGGTTTGCTCAGGGCAGATGTTGAATGAATGAAGGATGTCACCTGGCCAGACCCTTCCTGGCTCAGGAGGGAATCAGGCGCCCAGATGTGGGGGGTGGGGTGGGAGGGAGAGAGGGAGATGGGAGAGGGAGGAGGAGCGGGTGCTCCCTCAGACTCTGGCACCCCCCACCCAGCGGGGCTGCTACCTGCGCTTGCAGACGGGCCCTCTGGCTCTGCCACTCCTCCTGCAGACACTGGCTGTCCGGAGCCTTCTCCTTCAGCGCAGAGCCCTGTGCAGGTGGCACTTCACCACCCTCCCAGAGGGGCGCCTGGCTCCTTTGAAGACACGAAGGACACAATTACAAAGGACCTCGGCTGGGCCTGACACCACTGAAATAGCTGGGCAGAGCGGAAGCAGTTCAGTGGCGCTTGGGGGGGGTGGGCAAGAAAATTCCCCTCCACGCGCTAACTGGTGTCACTGCACCTGGGATGAGATCTGGATGCAGCTGAACCCACTAGAACTGCAGCCAGAAGCTGTTCTAGTGGGAGCTGAGTAAGTGGTGGGCTGTCAGATCGAGAGCCACAGCTCCTTACTTGGGAACTGCAAAAAGAGATCTTCCTGATCTAATTTTGCAAATCTTCCTGCATGTGGAAAAAAAATGATGAAGCAATAATGCTTTTCTTGAATACAGTGTTTGGCACCTTCTAACGCTTGCTCATAACGTTCACTGGCTGTCCCCACGTATAAATAGGAGGGTTATTAATAGGCTGTTACGCATGCAGCCAGAACAAGGCGATGCTGGTCTGAAGCCCTGGTAGCTTGTGTTGTGGGACAGATGCTGACAGGTGTCTTGGGAGGGGACTCGGCTCGGAACTTCTGAACCAGCTGAGAAGTCCAAATGTGATTGGTTCGGACTGGTATGGTACGTGGTTATCCTGGGTGATATGAAAAGGAATTCCCCTGGGGCTGGGGCCCTCTACAGAGACGGGGGGGGGGGGGCAGGAGGTCACGTTTGGCTTCCTCTGCCAAGGGCATTTGGCCAGAGAACCCAAGGTCAGGGAGTCACGGCCCGGGCTGTGCAGAGAGGCTCTGTGGCCTCTGGTTTAGCAGTGGTGAGAGGGCAACAGGGACCTTTTCATCCAGCTTCACACGTCTTGACAATAAGTGGCTCGAGTCCTCTAACTTTATTCAAGAATATTTTCCTAGGTTTTTTGTTTTTTCTATATTCAAAACCACTTCTTTCTATAAATAAGGCTGTTGGGATTTGGAGTTTGAACTGAACTTCGCATAAATTAAGACCTTAACTCCGAATATTCCCAGCAGCTCTGTTCTCTACGGGAGGACGTTGCTGCTCTTCTTTACTCACCTGGAGATTTTCAGTTCTGTTCAGTTCGCCTACGAGTCTGCTTCCTACGTCACTGGGTTCTGGTCTCATCTTTACTATTTCCTCCTTTCTCTTTACTTTGAGTTTCATTTGATAATCCAGTATTAGTTTCTTAAGATGAAGATTTAGATACCTGATCTCAGAACACTTTTAGGTACTAGTGTTTAACATTATGAAGTGTCTTCTTTAGTTCTATCCCCCTGATTTTGATGTCACATATTTACTATGATCAAATTTGAAATCGTCTGTTTCCATGGGGTTTTTACTTTATTATTTAGGTGCAGACTGATAACTTCCAAGTAGCTGAGGATTTCCTTGGTAGCTTCCTCTTATTATTTCTAATCTAATTCCTTTGCTGTCAGAGAAAACCCTCTGAAAAACAGAGTGTTCTTCAGAATATATTCCAGTCTCTGAACTGGACCACAATTTGTTTTGTGGCTTTTTATGTTGACCATATTGGTGGCTGTCTATGTGCCTTGGAGGACAAGGTTGTCTGCCGTTTTGCACCATATCGTCTCTGTCATTAGGTCACGTTAGTTGGTGCTGTAGTTCAAACAGTCTGTGTGATTAGCCCCTACTCAAAAAGTTTTCTAATCTATTTTGCCCATTTTCATAATGTCATTTTCATAAGTGTCTACAGAAAGCGGGAATGTCCACAGCCAGTTATGGTATCATGGCCTGTGGTAAAAGTTTCGGTTTTTATCAGTGATGATTATTCAAGGATTGAGTGACCTGGGGAATCTGTGGGCTTTCATTCCGCACCTAAGAACAGCCGCCCAATGTTGAGATGTAGCAAAGTGTGAGTTGTGGAGCCAGAGAGATTATCATCTGAATTCTGTGCTCAACCTGCAGTGTGACCACGCGCAAGTTACTTAACCTCTCTGGTCCTCAGAGAGTGTATTCTGAGCGTGGGCTTTATGAGGCATCAGCCCCAGTGCCATGAGTGTTCCCTTACCGAGGCAACAACATGCCCTATTCATGAGCTCATCCGTCAGCTGTGGTCCCAGATGACAAGGCACATGCAGTAGACTTGAACGACACCCACAGTTTGGGGGAGCGCTACAGCATTTGACCTTGGCCAGAAGCTAGTATCATAGGAGCAGAGCAGAGTTCAGCGTTGCTAAGAACAAAGGGAGTTGACCTACGAACTCAAAACGACTAGCATTTTGAGAATGGTAGTGCAGCACCAAATCCAGACTCCTCGGTGATACGGAGAGTGGGCCGCTGGGTGACTGGCTTCCTCGGGTCTCCTAGTTAAAGAACACTTGGAAGATGAAGGAGCAAGGGCTTGGGGCAAGCTCAGGCAAGTCTACTAACCTCTTTGAGTTTGATATGATGAACCTATAAAACAGCCTGTCTGGGTTGGTGTGACCATTACACAAGAATTTATCTAAAGCTTCTCGCTGTGCTGGAAGACATAAGAAAAGAGCCTGCTTCCTCTCTACACGTGATGCCAGGGCAGGAACGGTGCTTGAGAACAGAATGCATGGTGCCCCCAAATCTGAGACCTCATTCACTGGCGCATTTAGCATCATGTCCGCAACCCCCCCGCCCCCATACCTGCCCTCCTCGTCACTGCTGGCTCCTTCAGCGGCCCCCTTCTCTTGAGGCTCTTCTCTGGGTAAGGGCTCAGGTTTCCTCGGCTTCAAGCACGGATCCTAAGACAAAAACAAAAGAGTTGCAAATGAGGTCGAGTGCAGTCATCACCAACTCAGTCCATGGCTTACTGGAACCCAAGACCGGAGGAGAAACAGGCCTGGGGCAGAGAGAGCTGTGAGGGCACAGTGCCCACACGGTCCCTGGCTGAGGAGAGCTTCAGCCTGGTCTTTGTATCCTGTTTTCAGCCCACTGAGTATTCTGCACAGATGGTGGGATTAAAGCAGAGGGAGAGTGAGTGGCTCACGTGGGGAGTGGGTGGTGGGTTATGGAACTTGCAGTCAGCAGTTCCGTGAGGGGCCTGGACGCTAAGCCCTCCATGACATGGAGGGTCCTTGTGGGGCCTGGCATGGGGATCAGAGAATAGTGCCAGCAAACAGCCACTGGCTAACTGGTATTATTATTATTATTATTATTATTACACTTACAGGTGGCGAGTCTTTTGCATTTCACTACATACAATCAAATCCATGGAGCTGCTGAATGACCAGCAGTGTCAAGGAAGAGGGTATGGTGGGAGGAGAATAACGACACCATGAGTCAATAATGAGACTTCAGAACTTTCTTCAAATTGAGTCTGTCCATGTTGCCTTCTCCCCTTGCCACAGAGACATAAAGGTGGGAGAGATTTTCTTACTTTCGATTTTTCTACTTATCACAGTAACCACTGTCTGTGGAAAACAGTGTAATTAGACAGGTTAAGAACCGATTTGTTTATTGGTAAATCTCATTAAATAATGATAACTTACAACCTGGGTTTTTCAGTAAATGGTTCCAAGATCTTGTGTTTGCAAAAAACAAAAACTTTTCTTTGCCCCCCCTACTTTCAAGTACTCGGGAAGCATTAAAAATGTGTCAGCGAGCTCTAATTCCTAGGAAAACCCAGAAACAAATGTCATAGTTTTAGCGAAACAACCCTGAGAAGGGCTAGTATAGACACATGTCAGTTATATATAAGGGGATGTTGCATAGTGAATGTTGGACAACAAGAAACAGAATAGCAGAATACTACAGCATAAATAGCTATATTATGATAAATTTAAATAGGTCCATTTTTCAAAAGAAAAACTAGTGGCAAAGAAATTTTGGTATATAGAAAGCACAAAATATGGTTAGCAAAAATAATTCTAGTCATACCAGTAAGCACAGTGTATACAAACTGGCTAATTTCAACATGTATATTCAGTCTTGTAAAAAGAATCATCTACAAAAATGCTCTAATAGTGAACCTGTAGGCATCTAACAATAGACACTGAAAACATAAAGCAAAGTGTTTGGGACTGTAGGAAGAAACGGGCACATTTATACCTACAGTAGAGGTTTTAACATGTATGTCTCAGAAACTGTTACATTGATTAGACAAAATGTGGTAGGGTAGGGAAGATTTGAATGACAAGATTAACAAGTTAAACTTAAAAGCTAAAAAAGAATACGAATCTCTGCTGATATTTACATGGTGCTTAGCGTGTATCAGCCACGAATTCCATGAGGTGGAGACCTTCTTCCCATTCTGAGGCAGGAGAGAATATGTAACCTGTCCAAGGTCATAAAGCGAATAGATCCTAGAACTGGGGTTTAATTATAATGACTTTTAATGACCAAACTGAGACTGTATCCTTTTCTCCATCACATTGGGTTCATAAAACAAACAAAAAACCTGACCCCACAGAAGACTACAAAGCAAATCTCAACACAGTTCAAAGTGGTATTATTCTAGAACATTGTTATTCTACATAAAAATAAAGTTAAGAAGCATCATGAAAATAGATTTAACAGAAAGGTAGGGCCCTCCCTGGTGGCGTAGCGGGTTAAAGCACAGCACTAAGAAGCTTAAGTCACTTCAGCACAAGTTCGATCCCAGCCTACCCCAGAGGTGACCACATGGTGCGGCAGACCTCTCCTGACCCGCCCGTTGCTCCCCTCAGCAGTGGACTTCATTGATCTGCCTGTTCTGCTTCCCACTCTGTTCCTGGTGAATCCTCTCACCCTCCGCATCTCTGACCTGTACTCCAGTTCTGTATGAATAAATAAATAAATCTTAAAAAAAAAAGAAAGGTAAACTTCAAAGTCCTTGGGTATAGTTAAAGACATACACTTAGAAGGGAAGTAGGAAGCCTTAAGTGTATTAATTAGAGAACATTCAAGAAGTTAGAAGAGGAATCAGAAAGTAAACTCAAGAGGGAAGAGATAGAAAAGGTAAAATTAATGACAGAGAAATACAGATTTGATGCACAGCTCAGAAAGCTGACTTTTGAAAAGATACGCCAAACTACTGGCAAGTCTGATCAAGGAAGAGGGAGAAGGAACTTGCAGCGACATGAATAATACACCAAGATCTCAGGCCGTTATTATAGAGATGAGAAAGAATTTCAAATGTACTCTGAGCCACTGTGCACAGCACGGAAGGGGATGTGCAGGATGTAATTCCTGGACATCTTACCGATCACAGCTATATTTAAAGGCATCCCAGGCAGGAGCCCAGAGACAGGAGAAGATAGAATATTTGATAGAAGCTGACACACCCCGAGGACGACTGTTGCTCAAGTTGCACCACCTGTCTATTTCCATACATAAAACTCTTGGGTCCCTAAGATTCCTTGCGGCAGGCAGGTGTCATTACACATGAGGAAATGAGACTGGAGAAGTCATGACTCGTGCCAGGTCACAAGGATACTGGAGGGCTGGACTGCTGGGTGGACTGATTCCCTTCTTGGTCATTCCATGGGACCACACTGGCCCTTGCTGTGCCACGTTGACCCAACGGTCAGCTCCAGCATCTAAACCTAACTGGGTGAGTTAAAGCCACGTTGTGCAAGTGTGCTGCTGAAAAGCACCTGCAAAACAGACATTCAGAATCGACCACAGAAATGACAGCGGTTTTCTGAATCCATAGCAAGATGAGCTCGGTCATCCTTTGGGTTCTGTTCACTTGTTTGAACACCAGAGACAGGAGCAGACACCTTCCCCCGAAAGGAGATGAATAATCCCCCTCCGATTAGCTGATGAAGGCAAGGGAGGGTAGGACCAGTAGCTGAAAAAGGGCCTCAGTGTCATGCTGAATCGTCTGCTAGCCAGGGCTGATTTTGAGAGGGTTCCTCGCGTGAGCTTTAATGCCAGGACAGGAGACAGGGCCTCTGCTCCCTTGTTCAATTGTCACGTCATGTCAATTCATAGAAAAGGAGCCAAACCTCTGCTCGGTGCAGATACAGCAGATGCCAGAAGAATAAAGGTGAGTAGGACATAGTTGTTTTTTTTTAAGATTTATTTATTTATGCACACAGAACTGGGGTACAGGCCAGAGGTGCAGGGGTGTTGAGAGGCTTCACCAGAGACACAGTGGGGAGCAGAACAGGCAGATGGGTGGAGCATACTGCTGAGGGGAGCAGCGGGCGGGTCAGGAGAGGTCTGCCATGCCATGTGGTCACCTCTGGGGCAGGGATCGAACTCATGCTGAAGTGGCTTCAGCTTCTCAGTGCTGTGCTTTAACCCACTGTGCTGCCAGGGAGGGCCAGGACACAGTTCGTAATCTCAACAAATCTATGACTCAGCAGTGGGGCCCACCAGAACACCTAAAATTCTAAGCATCCCCTCTCTCTTGTCCACCTTTTTTTTTTTTTTAGTATTTATCTTTACATCTTTCTTCATTTTGTGCATTTTTCCCATCTTGTTGGTAATTCCCATGGACTTCTGGTCCACCTTTTGTGGAGGTGTTTGGATCAAAGGACATCATTCAAAAGGAGTGAGGGTGTGATGTGAATACTTCACAAATGGACTTGACCTTGGAGAGCTATGGTTGATTTCAAGTCCCCCCATACTTCTTTGACTTCTGCCCTCTTCTCTAAGTTCTACTGGTGTAGGCTTTCCAGGTGCTGCTGTCTTGGGGTACTCAGTGAGCACCTCACAGGAGCAATCTGGGCCTCTCTAGGTGTTCCACAGGTTTCCAGCCTGTGGTTCACACTCTTGGCTTTCCTAGCAGGCACTTGAGGCTCTTCCCACATTCTCTAGTGTGAACGTAGCCTGGCTGTAACATGCACACAGAAACTGAACAGTGCGGCTCTCCTGCCACCACCCACTGCAAAGGCGTCCTCCCAGCTCCTGGCAAACAAGCAGCCAGTTATTTTAAACCCGTGCTCACATCAGGCCCTCATCATTCATCTTCCAGGCACTGAATCTGTTCTGGATTATTTCTATTTTAACGGAACACCCACACCCAGGAAATTGCCTGGAAGGGAATATTCAAAGTCATGCTCAAGTTCAGTTGACAACCTTTCAAAGGTAGAATTAAGTACATCTGAAAATAGATCACTAATGCAATGGGGTTTTGCTGAAATGATCACTGTAATAGATACTGTAAGGTCACCTTACATTTATAGAATCTTCATTTTGAAATGTGCCTTCATATGCTCTCTTCCACTCACAACAAGTCTCCTGGCTGCGCAGGGTAAGGGTTACCACTCCCCTTTTCCCACGGGAAGGGAAGCAGTGTAGTCTCACAGTGTATAGCGTGGGCGCTGGCTCCCTACTGTGTGAAAGGGGGTAGTAATAATTACACTTGCTGGTGGGGTGTGAGGCTGTGCAAACCACGAAGTTCTTGGCACTCAGGAATGCAGGGGAATCGGATCTCAGAGAAGTGTTGGACTCCCTGAGGTTCCCGGGCAGGTCTGGCATAAAACTGGGGCAGGTTCCATGCCCTCATTCCAGACAGGAGCTGCTGCCCAGCTCTCTGCTGTCTTTGAGGGCCCCCACAGACCTCGGCCTGGTCCTTAGCTCTCTCCACATGTGGGTGTCCAGGGCAGCCTGCATCGTTCAATGTCGGATGGAACCGGACCCTTCAACTTGCACCACAGGGGGCAGCGGACCCTCTGCAGTCTGGGGACTCGTGGGCCATTGCAGTAGTTGAAGGACTCAGTGGTCATTTCCCTGTGGAGGCCCAGGACTCAGATGACCCTCCAGGTTTGTTTCAGGGACGCTGCCCGGCCAGCCATGCAGGGCTCCTGGGAGCCAGCAGCTCTTCCAGGGCTGGGAGAACTTCAGAGTGCTGGTGTGGTCAGGCCTTTCCCCCACCAGCCTCAGGGATTGTGCCCTGGACCTCTAGCCCACTTTCTCCTCAGCCATGCCCCTTCCTGATGAAGTCAAGTTCAACTTGCAGAATCTCTGAAGGCAGAAATGCCTGCTCTGTGATTTCTGGGGCTTCCTTGAGCAGAAACCTTCACTCACGTATTAGCTGTATGAGAACATTCTGGTGCCATGACAGCATCTGCTACGCAGGCTTTTGCTGGCATTAGATACATGTCCCCCACTCGAGATGGAGCTCTTCAAGAACACTCACAGGACTCAAATACTTGTCGAAGTGAAATGATGTGAATAATAAGCCCACGAATGACTCTGCTCTTTCTTCTGGAGGGTGTGGAAGGGGAGTCTATGGAAACCCCTTGCCTGCCCCCAGTTAGCTGTGACTCAGGCACTGGACAAGTGTTTCAGCAAGTAATTTCCTTTCAGAACAACAAAAATGGAAATGACTTTCTGGAAATCAGTCAATAAAACCACGAACCTAAGAGAATCAAGGACACTGAGCATAAGAGACCAAGACAAAGGTTCCCTAAAGTCACAGCTAGCTTGGGGGTGGGGGAGAGCCACACCTAGCCTGGGCAACATCCTTTCTTCCTGTTCAGGTAGAGGAGTGGGGAGCAAATTCTCAGCTCTTGCTGAGTTACAGCTCTTTCCACTCCTGGACACGTTAGCAGAACTGCTAACTGTCCCCAGGAAAACTCCTGATCTTAGACAAACATACATTTTAGGCTCTGGGATTCAGCAAAATCATCTTTGAGGAAGTGGTCACTGAACACCTGTGTGGTGTCTGTGTCCACCCGCAGATCAGCCATGGGATCCTCCAAGCCCAGCAAAGCACCCTCCTCGTTAGCACTGTCCGCTGCAGCATCCTGCAGGGGGCGCTACATTGGGTGTGCCATGTTCCCCAGACCAGCCCAGGGGCTGCCCTAGGCTCTGTGCCTCTGGGGTGCTGGCAAAACTTCCACTCACTTGTTTGCGACGTAGTTGACATGAGAAAATAGTTGAACTGAGATAGAAGTTTTCTCTGACTGGCCACACTCAAAGTTTTGAGTATGTTGGCAAAGTTGTGGGGGGAAAAACTGGCATTCACAGCTAGTGCCTGTGGGATTAGACTTTGGGACGACATAGGGAGAGGCCAGGTGGCATAGCTAACCCAGTCAAACACACTGCTTGGGGATCCAGCAAATGCTACAATAATGAGTTAGTGCCAACTGGGCATTTCACATGCTGGAGGCTGTTTCGGACTCACACATATATTTATTCATTTAGTCATGACCAAAATCCTCAAACAGGGGGGTGGCATCACCCCCACTTTACAGATGAGGAAGTTCAAGCAAAGAGACTTTAAAGCATTTGTCCAAGATTGTCCAGTCAGTAAGAACCCTGTCACCTCATTCACGGGCGGGCTCACAGAACTCCATGGTATAGTGCTGCCAGCTGATGAATTATCAGGACAGCGAAAAATTGGAAACAATCTAAATATTCATGATAAGGGGGAAAGTTAAGTATTTTACAGTTGTTCTGCACAAGGGAACACTGGAGGATTGTTCTTTTTAAAAAATAAAGTCGATAAGGGCATGTGCCAATGTGTTCCAATCTCCATGCCAAAAACTTTGAGTAAAAGCAGAGTTCAGGAGACAGAGTGTTACATGTGTTTATGTACCATGTAATTCTGACAGGACATACAAGACAAGAACAACTAGACAGGGAACTTGGGGAGGGGAAGTTTCACTGCCTACCTTTACCTACCCTTTGAATTCTGTGCCATGTATGTGGATTATCTATTTGAAAAGAAATTTCGTTTCAAAGATCCAGTTATACCTATAAAGCCATCAGGATAGCTGTATACTGAAAAAAAACATCAGACCTTTAACTAGGGCTCAGCGTCCTCACTGTTTATAAGCTGTATTTTTAATGCACATTTTTTCTCTTGAGCACCTAACTCAGAGGCGGGTACACTGAGCGACTCCACAAACTCCTGTGGACTGACTGAATGAATAATGTGCAAATGGAACTGATATTCATCAGCCTCCTTCCGCAATCCCGTGTAGAAGTGTTGTACCTCCGTCTAAGCCACAGAATGCCAAGGAGTCCAGCAGGCCTGGGGAGCTAAAGAGAGGCAGGAAACAGTTTCTCCCTCAGAGCTCCAAAGGGATACCTGCTGATACCTTGACCTTGGACTCCAGCCTCCACTGGGAGACATACATTTCCGTGGCTCAGGGCACACCCTCGTGACAGTAATCCTAGGACGGACGGGACTAGCGTCTGTGCTGGGGCAGCGTCCTTTGACGCAGCTGCAGAGGTGGGGGGGGTCCTCGCTAGCTGAGAGGCCCTTTACTTGCTGGGCAGGCTTGCTCTTGCAGTGGAAGAGACACAGCCTCGTTCTTTTTCGAGCCACAGGGATAATGTACTCAGAACTACCTTCTTTATGGCTTTTGCAAATGTGCATTTATTTTTTTCCCCAAGCATTTTGGCAGCTCTGAAGGGGGTCATAAAAGAGCTGGTTAATGCCATTGGAGACACCAAAGTGCTGAAGCAGAGAAAAGAAATCCCTTTAATTACTGCAGAAAGAAGCCAGGGGTTACCTGGGTCTCCAACATGCCGCAGAGTCCGCGATCTGGTTCTTGGGGCTGTTCCTGGCCTCTGGGGAAATGGACCTTATTTTGTTGAATAAATTCTTCCAGCCTTAAAACCTGAAACAGAAGAAAAGAACCACTAAGCATGAAATAAAGGGTGTAGCCATCAACCTGGCCACCATTCTCTTCAGTCAATTAGTTCTGGGGAGGGCGCCCCCTGAGACAAACTCCAAACCCACTTCTGGAAAACCATTTCTAATCAGCTGTTTGCTCAGTTTCTACAGAAGATGCGGGCTGGGCAGGGTTGCACTCCCCTTCAATTATTTACATCTGGGTATCGACACAGGTCTGGGGAAGGCACACACTGGTTCCCCACATCCCGAGCCCATTCTGTTTCATGTTTCTTAAAGCTAGTTGTTAAAGAGAGACAATATTTAAGACTTGAGTGGATAACATGAGAGAAAGGTGGCTAGTAGGCATTGTTAACTTGTAATGCTTTAATGAGGACGATGACCATCAGTCAACTGACTATAGAGCATCAGTGAAACACACAGACTTCCTTGCTTTAGACTCTGAAAAGAACAAAGCCAATAGCCATAAGGGTAATGGAGACGTTGTTGACAAGTGTTTTTAGAAAACCTGTAGGCTAGGTGGGAAGGCGGAGGATAGGGGAAAGCGAGGGGTGGATAGTAAGGTAATAAAATATGGTCCCTGCCTTCAAGAAGCTCATGTTAGTATAGCAGGAGGGGAGCGTGGGGAGGAGACAGATATTGGTAACCACAGCAACATCCAGGGGAGTACAGACACCGTGATAAAAGCAGCATGAATGTGTCAGGTGTCGATCTCAGCGTATTAAACCCTTTAAGGTACTACCACGGGGGGAGGCTCTGGGGGTGAGATGGAGCCACATGTGAGTTGCAGGTAGATCCAAGATTTTAGGGGAGGGGTGGGGCCCCATGCAGACTTGGGGTTTAGAACGCTAGTTCTGGAAGTAGCTGGCCGGGGAGAATGTGGAGGCGGGGGATACAGGAGAAGGCGCCTGCAAGATTTTGGATTTCCCAGGAGAGAGCGAGGCCATCCGAATGTGCTTCTATTTGCACAGTGAATGTTGAAGGGAGAAGTAGCTAAAGATTGTGGCATCTTGCTAAGGCTTATGAAATATTCAAGCAAGTCCTGTGTGGTCATTTATGGAGTCTCGATAAACAAGCTTTTGGAAGTCCAGGGGAATCATTTTGAGCGTCTTGACCGAAGCAATGGTGTAACAAGATACGGGGCACGGAGGCTTAGGCAGCAGGCCCCACCGGACCTCGCAACAGATGGAATGTGTGGGTGGACAGGGCAAGGACTTGCGGTCAACAGGGGAGAGTTGGAGAGGCAGATATGGTCAGGGCGGTTCCTCCGTGCCCGGCTGTGGTTGTCAGTGGCGGCTCGATAATGACACCATTACTGCGGAGAAATGCAGGGTGAAGAACAGGCTGAGGCGCTTCGCCCAAGGTCAGCCTCTGGGTCATGCTTCGCCACCTGTAAACACTCAGGTTCTGAATGATGCTGGGTCACCCGTGAGGCAGCAAACTGCAACTGAGTCAGATTCGTGGGGCCTTGAGGGGGGGGGTTAAAGTCATATTACCTGAGTTTGAATCCCAGAACCACTACTTGTTGCCTGTGTGACTTTGAGGAGGTGACTTGCCTTCTCTGTGCCTCGATTTTCTCATTTGTCAAGCAGAGAGATAATCCGAGAAAGGAAAGAGCTAACACGCAAACTGCTTAGACAGTATCTTAAATTCAGCAAGGGGAAGGAGGAAGGGGGGGGAGGAAGGGGGAGGGCGAGAGGGGGAGGAGGGGGGAGGGGCTATCAGGGGTGAAGGGCAGGCTGGACTTTGAGTGGTGCCCTTAATGTGCATACATGTGCTGATTTTCAGCAGTGAGCTTCTGAAACATATAATGTTACAATGCAATGTTATGTCGATAATGAAAGGGAGATTATTTTGTCTATTACTCAAAGAAATAAAAATTAAAGCAAAAAAGAGAGCAGCTTTTCCAGAGCCCAGATCAATGAGCACCACCATCCACCAGCAGACTCCTGCATCTCTTTTACAGTTGTGAGACATTGAGCATCTCTCTCTTTTTTCTTCTTTTTAAGATTTACTTTATTTATTTATTTATCCAAGAACTGGGGTACAGGCCAGAGGTGTGGGGAGTGAGAGGATTCACCAGAGACAGAGTGGGGAGTAGAACAGGCGGATTTACTGAGATATACTGTTGAGGGAGCAGCAGATGGGACAGGAGAGATCTGCTGCACCATGTGGGTCAGCTCCCTGGCCCCCAGATCGAAGTCATGGTGCAGTGGCTGCGGAGAGCTTTGTAGTGCTGAGACTTAACCCCTGCACCACCAGGGAAGGCTAAGTGTCTGTTTTATGTTTCTAGAAACCAGACTCTGCTACTTGCAGTTAAATCTAAGCCTCCTTGAGCAGCTCCCTTCCCGTTGAGCCAAAGTCCTTTCCCTTCCCCTCAGGATGGGCCCGTGAGGCAGTCAGGGCAGGGTCCCGAGAGGCCCAGCATCTCAGTGTGTCAGGCGCCTCCAGGCCCAGAACCACCCCTCCCAGGCTCTACAGTTAATCAGAACCTACCTCAAGCAGAGAATTCTGGAGCTTCGCATTTAGGGCTGTTTTCTCTTCTTCCAGCTGTTTTATTTCATTTTCTGATTTCTTCTTCACCTCCTCCAGCTGCGCTTCCACTTCCTAAGTGACAATGGAAGAGTCAGCTGCACGGCAGGACAAGGACACCTCAACTCTAGTCTCATCCCCAAAGGGTTTCAAAGCAGCTTCAGAGTCATAAAATACTGGAGAATATAACTAGGAAGATGCTAGAAAATCAAAAGGAAACGAGTTAACTTCACACCAGGATGTCTGATTTATGTGGGGGGTGGGTGGAGAGAAGGGGAGAGCCTGACTTTTTTGTAGTACCAAGTAAAAAAGGAGAAGAATCATTACTGCACAAGTTTTCAGTGCCCCATGAGTCAAAAGTCAACCATACGTTCAAATACGGGAACACATTAAAGAGAGAACTACACGTCTCTTATGATTTTTCTCAGTGACATCTTGCTTGTCAGTGATGGCTGCTTCCTGCACAGGTCTTCACTGAGGACTGAAGGGCAGCCAGGGGAGAGCTGGGAGAGGAAGGAGACACGAATAGAGTCTTACCACATTGGGCCTCAGCAACCACACTAATGAAGTTGTGAAGACAAGAGGGGTCTTTGGAGGTTGAAACCAAGGTTGACTTGGTTTGGGATGGAGAAGGAATGAAGCGAAGCAGAGAAATGGGTGACACTATGGTCCCTCAAGAAATGGTGGGTGCTGGGGGCACTGTGGTGCCAACTGAGGCCAGAAAGGAGTGGAGATGTGCCAGGGCCATGGAAGAAGAACGAACAGCCTTGATAACTGACTGAATGCCAGGGATGAGCAAGAAGTCACGTGTGGCTCTGGGGCTTCTGACTTGTGCATCCCAAATGCTGTAACGAAGGGTCACCTGTGACTGACATCTTCTGGCCACTAACATTACCCATTACTCAGCCATTTAAAAGGGAAGAAAGGAGAGGTGTGATTAGATCGGCAGGCCCACACCACCTGGACACTGAGCATAGAGCACCTAGCAGGCCCTTCTGCAGGCCTGGAGTCCATTTCTACAGATGATACACAAGCTATCCTTTTGTCCCAAACAAGTATAGATGTTTTAAACAACCATCAGAACACCATCATCCCCTCAGCAACTGTCCTGATTTTTCACATCATTAATTAGCTTCTCATTCACTGAGGCATTTTTTTTTTAAAGATTTATTTATTTATGCACACAAGAACTGGGACACAGGTGAGAGGGTTCTGCAGAGACAGAGCGGGGAGCAGAATAGGTAGATCTACTAACACACGCTGCTGAGGGGAGCAGTGGGTGGGGGGTCAGGGAGGTCTGCTGCGCCATGTGGGTCACCTCTCTGGCCAGGAATCGAACTCATGCTACAGTGGCTGAGGATAGCCTCATAGTGCTGCACTTTAACTCACTGTTCCACTAGGGAGGGCCCTCACTGAGGGATTTATTGAACAAATGTTTTGCGTAATGTGCTTCCTGATAGACAGTCACTAACTCTGCCGAGGCATGTTCCTGAAACAACACAGTGGAAATGCCCTGCAAGTGATGCTTAACATAAAGTGCAATTTCTGATCGCGCACAGCCTGATTTACTTGGGTTCATATAATCAATCACTGCTTCAGCTGCTGCCTTGACAAATGAGCTACAGTGCAATAATTCCCCCACAGATGGAAAGAACAGATTTCAGCAGTAAGTTTTGGCATTAGGGAGATTCCCTTCAGTACAAAATAATGCGGCTTGCTGTCAGAAAACAAATAATCCTGGGTCACTTGCCGAACACAGACTAGAAGGAAGCATGCCTAAATGCGGCTAAGCCCACAGAAGCTTTGAGGATTCAATAGAAGCTCACATTATTCTAACTCAAGAGGAAAAAACCTCAAAGAACATGAGGATAAAGAAGGAGGTGGATGCTTTCAAATATATAAATCTTATACCTAAGGAGCATGCCATGGGCCATTAATTTATGGAATTCTGAATACTTTCAGGAATTTTATTTTTTTTATAACAGTTTATTTTTACATCATTTTGTACATTTTTTTCCATCTCAATGGTAAGCCCCGCGGGTTTCCCATCTTATTCGCAATTTTTAACTCAGGGAAGAGGGTTTAATCACATCCATTTCCCATGAAGGAAAACCCTAAACAGGTGCTGTCTGATGCTTCCAGTCTACCATTAGCGCTAACTTAGGAGAAGATACAGAATGATTCACACGACAGGAAGAACAAAAGAGCAGCCACGCAAAGTTACCAAGAGAAGATTTCAGTGGTTTTTAAAGGAAAACACATTAACTTTAAAAAAAAAAGATTTATTTATGCATACAGAACTGGGGTACAGGCCAGAGGTACAGAGGTGAGAGGATTCACCAGAGACATAGTGGGGGGCAGAACAGGTAGACTGACAAAGTACATTGCTGAGGGGAGCAGCAGGGAGACAGGAGAGGTCTGCTGGGCCCTGTGGGTCACTCCCTGGCCAGGATCGAACTTGTGCTGAAGCAGCTGCAGCCAGCTTGATAGTGCTGCGCTTTAACCCATTGTGCCACCAGGGAGGACCCAACATTAACTTTTTTCAAGGAGGAAAGTGACTCTTTGGAACATATTTATAGTAAAATTCATGGTGCAGTAAATGATTCCACCAGTTACAAAGCCTAACATGTCACCCAGAGAAACTAGCTCTGAAACTACTCACTACACAGGCTTTTAGATGCCATGAGGGTGGCATCTGAGTCGAGGGCCTGAGTTGGCACTAGGGCAATTCTTCTAAACTCATTCTAGCAAAGCTCAACTATCTACTTTCTACTGCCATAGAAAGAATGAAGCTGGCTTCTAGTCATTTAACTGCTTGCCAAAACCAAATTTACCACTCGTAACAGGAAAATATTAACACTCTATAGGCTTTCAATAAGTTAACATCTTAATGTCCAGCATCTAACCAAAAAATGTGACTTATACCCTAGAGAAAAACCAGTCAACAGAAAAGATCCTAAAATGAGAGATAAGAATGATAAAAGAATAATTAGAAATATCAGGGCAACCCTGGTGGTGCAGGGGTTAAAGTCTCAGTGCTATCAAGCTATGACCAGATAGCTTGAGTTGGATCCGGCCAGGGAGCTGACCCCACAGGGCGCAGCAGACCACGACTGTCCTGCCCACTGCTCCCCTCAGCAGGGGATTTCAGTAGACCCATCTGTTCTGCTCCCCAGTCTGTCTCTGGTGAATCCTCTCACCGCCCCTGCACCTCTGGCCTACACCCCAGTTCTTGTTTGCATAAATAAAAATAAATCTTAAAAAAGAAATATGCACAAGAATTTCGAGGAAAATGTGACATAATGAGATGAGAAAGGGAAGCTGCATTGAGCATCAGGTGGAATTATCTAAAACTGAAAAGTATGATGAAAAAAATGGGCCTTAAAAAGACTGGATGGTGAAAATAATAAGTGAACTTGAAGACACAGCGACAGAGCTATTCAAACTGAAACAGAGAGACAAGGAGGGTGAAAACAGAATTTTGTGGAACAACATGGAAGAGGGGGTGGCAGGAGAGAGAATGGATTTAAATTTCAAACGGGATGAAAACTGAAACCACAGAACCGAGAATGCCAATGAATTCCAAGCAGAAAAACACACAGAAAATTACATCGTGGCATTTCATAACCAAATTGTGAGAATCAATGATAAAGAGAACATCTCAAAGGCATTCGAGAACAAAAGGGACACCTTAAGCACAAGAGAAAAGACCTGCAAGGTCGGCAACTTTCATTATAAGAAATTTCACCACAGTTCTGTCCCTTTTACCCATGGCCTCCCTCCGGGATTGAGGCCTGCAAAGCTCCACCTTCTATCCCAACTTCTACCATCAAGGTGGCCATGAAAGCCACGCGCTGACTGGGTGGCTCCTCACTGTTCTGTTTACAAATTAGTAGAGCGGGAACAGACTGAACCATGGAGGGGCCAGCGGCCTTCACTTTGGCTGCCCAGCACCCATTCCTTCCAGTGTTAGGAAGGAAACTCTCCATCTGATACATCAGAGCCATCCTCGCATCAGGAACCTGAAAATGTGAGATTGACCTTCCCAGAATCCTTTGCAGCTCCGGCATGGGAATGTGACCCAGCTCCACCAATCAGATGCACCCACCCCAGATGCTAAATCAAAAGCTAGTAAAAAGTACCAACAAGCCAGACTGGCAAATTCAGTTTCCAGGGGCAACAGAATTAATCATTCCAGAGCAGTGCTGGCCAAGGAAACTTCTCAATTCAAGGAAAATGTTCTAAAATATAATGTGGGTCTGTGCTGTCCACGCTCAGCACTGTTATCCACGCTCATAGCCACTAGCCACATACAAGGCTAGGGAGCCCTGGATTGTGGCTAGGTCCACGAGCAGCTGAACTTTGAGTTTTATTTAATTTCTTTTAAAATAATTTCAACAGCGTTACCTCTGGTTTACAATTAAACATTATCTAACTGCAATTAATTTAAATGTGGCTAGCCAGGTGTCTAGATGCGGCCACATTAGTGCAGTTCCGGAGGCAATGAGGGGGCCCAGGAAGGTGAAGGCAGCAGTAGAAGCCAAAGGTCTTAGGCTCACAAGTGCTGGGGTGAGGGGGGGGGCAGAGGAGGCTATCCCCATCAGTTTCACATAGATTTGGGACTTTGCTCCTGGCTGGGTATTGGCCAAGTCTGGTTCGTTGGTCTTCCAGAAAGTTACACATTACTCCTTACTGACTTCCTTTTCTGCCTCCACTTCTGAGCAGGGTTGGTCATGCTTGCCACCAAGAATCCAATGTGATACAGATGAGACCTGGACACAGCCACGTCCAGCACCCTCCACAGCGCTCACCCTTGCTGTGTCCAACATGGCAGGTGAGTGCTAATGTTAGATGTGCGTGTGGTCCTGTTTCTGGAGGTTAAGTGATCACAGCTAACCCTGGGCACCAGCAAGCCAGACAGGCCTTCAGTGTTGACTCCAGCCCAGTCCTGCATTCCGTCTTCTTCAGGGTGAGCTGCACTCAGGATGCACCACGTACCCACACCCAAGGGTGCAGCAAGCGGTGCAACCTTAACTCTACAGGGGGAAATGGTGTCTACTTTTAGTCTGGCAACCCAAGAGTTGAGACCTTTTCAAGGCTTGCCCTTCCCCTAATCTGCATGGGCTAATTTATATCATTCATATCCCCTGTTTATAAAAATGGCCAAACATAAAAATAAAAGGCAAAGCAACCGGGAGGAGACCAATGACTTCTCTATGATTTGTTTAATGAGTTGCACGCCCCCCGTTTAAGGTGGAAGTGGGATTTCTGGGCTCAGAGACAGGCTCGGCTGACAAGTTACCACAGTAACCGTCAGCTCCAGTGGAGCAGCTGGCTGGCTGCTGGCACCTGGGGCTGGGGGACACGATGCTCTCCATACAGCAACTTTCCTCCCAACTTCTGGGGGAAACCGTAGGCTCGTGGGCTGTGAGGCTGCAACACACGCTCCCCCTTGCTGTGCCTGGGTCAAATGCCAGGCGCTGGCCACGAAGCTGAGGGCAGCTGCATTGGGATCTGAACCCAGGCTGCCGACCTGTCCGCCTCGCTTTCTTTCTCTCTGGTTTTGCTGAGAAGTGTTGGATTTCCCTACGTTAAATGGCTCTCTGACACAATTCCACCCCTCTCCAGGCACTGATGCCTCACAACTGTCTTAGGGGCCCTGGTTTTCCCCACAAAGACCTGAACTCCCGTGGTCAGTGAACCCGCTGACATCTACAGCCGGCAGGAGCAGGGACACACTCAGGGCTTGAGAAAGGGAGGGAGAGTAAAGGACAGGAAGGAGGTGGAGGGGCAAACCCAGCAGCGCCCAGGGAAGGGGCTGCTCACCTTCTGTAGCTTTTTCCTCTCAGCCTCTACCGAGGAGCGAACCGATTTCATTTCCACCGTGTGCTTCTTGACCAAGTCTTCCAGACGCTTCAGCAGCTGCTCTTTGAGATGTTTCTTCTCCTCTTCTGTCTGGATTTTGATTTTACGAAGATCTTCTTCATATTGTTGCTTCATAGACTCCCCAACACTTGCCTCTTTTTGGCCCTATAAAAAGAAAACGAACCTTGAAAACTGCTAGGGTGTGGCAAGGTGGGGAGCAGAGAACCACTCATCTTTTGGGTACCGTTCTTACATTTTGGCGTTTATATACTGATTTTACTGCATGTATCACAAGGTGTGACAACAGTTACAAAACTATACCCTTGGTATCTGTGGGAGACTTCACTTGAGCCAGGATGGGGAAGAGCACTAACATGTACTCACTATTACAGGATCAGACATTTCAACCCAAAGTATTCTGTAAGGAATGCTTTGTTTGGATTGGAAACGTGTGTGTGTGTGTGTGTGTGTGTGTGTGTGTGTGTGTGTAGGGGTGGGGTTGGGGGGGATGGCAGGCGGGGTTGGAATTCTTAGCAAGTTTCCAGCTTCCCCGGAGCCAGCAATAAGATGGGAGGATTCTGCTATATTCGCAGTCTCCTAGTTTCGAATGGTGAAGTTGGCAGGGAGTTGGCTAAAACTTTGCTCCTGCATCTCCACCCCTGAAAGCATGGGGCCAGTGTGTTCCAAGGAGAGCCTTCTGTGTGGGGGTGGGCCTCAGCCTGAAGCTCCTACCAGGCAAGCCCTCTGTGAGTTCTCCACCCTCAGGCTGGTTCAGATACACACTACCTGTGTTTCTGTGCCTCCTTTCATGCATGGACACTCCTTGGGAAAGTTCTGATCCTGCTGAGGATGGAGACTGCCGGCTTCCAGGTCATTTCCTTCTCCCAGGACTTTATTCTCGGAAATGAGCTCCATCTTCATGTTATCTGCGAGCATAAGCGTTGACATCATTTGCAATGCCCTTGACCTTGGCGTGGTGTCTAAGGCTTTCCACAATTTGGTCCCCATTTTGTAATTCCACTACTTGACCCACTACTTTGCTATGTAATCTTGCGCCCACTGGGGTGCACGCATGATCAAGGTGCCCGTCTTTGCTCCAGCAACAACCTGATTTTAAACAGCTGCCCTGCTCTTCAAATATAACCTTCCTGCCTTCTAAAAATATTTAATATGTCCCTTGATATGTACACATTCAATAGGAAATAGGATAGGAACTTAAAGGATAAGACAAAAAAAAAGAATAGATCTAGAATTGCTCACTTTCTTCCCTTATTCCCTGAGACACTCATGCCCTACTTCTGAGACCACCACTCTACACCTTCCACACACGTCTGGTTCCAGCTCCAACCTCTTCTCCACACCTTTCCAGCCCGTGGTGATTTTTACTTTCCCGAATGCTTTAGTCGCTGCTGCCTGTGACTATGATAGCCACGTGTGCCCTGGGCTGTAAGGTCAGTGTCCCGGAGGGGTTCCTGGAGGCATAAGCCCATGTTGTACCTCCTAATAGCAAGCTGGTCACACTGTATATTCAAGAACTTTCCAAGAAGGGCGCTTCCTAGAGGATATTTTAAAATCCGATGTTCTTAGAGGCAAACACTGCCTCTCTCACCAAGTATTTGCTTGGCTGAACTTTGTCAGCCTCCATGCTTCACCAGTAGTGTGATTCTGGCAATACCTATGTGGCAAAATTATAGGGAAGATCCACTAATGTTATTATGAAATGTTTTTAAAAGAACATATCTATGAATGACTGCACTAAGAAGATGTATAGATACACAAAAGAATAACACACAGCTATAAAATTTAAGATGAAAGTTGCCATCTATATCAACATGGGTGGCCTTGTAGGTGATTATAGGAAGTGAAACGACTGTGGAGAAATACAAATATTGAATGATTCCACTCACACGTGGAGCATAAAAAAATAAACCAAAGCAACAGAAAAAATAAAATGAAACAAACCCTATAAATTTGACTGCAGACTTGAGAATGTCAGAGCGGGAGTGTGTAGGCTGGGAACAAATCGGGGAGAAGCCCAATGGACTGTAGTGAAGAGTCACCGGGGCTTCGATGGTGATTGTGGTGGGGTGATACACATCTGACGAGGTGTGAAGCCTGACTTCCCAAATCATAGACTGGGTTAGTGTACATGACATACCGTCAATAAGAACAATAAGGAAATAATAAAGAGAGAAAATAAGTATTTTCTGAGTTATGTTTAATAATCATACCCAGACACACTTCCTCATTTTACTTCTGATTTTCATGGGAATGCCTCCAGGATCCCATAATTAAATGTGATGCTGCATACTTACTTGAAATGCTAGTGTTTAAAAGATAATAATACATTGTCAACAGTTAGTACTACCAAAAAAAAAAAAAGAACAAAGTGTTGCCTAAGAGTGGGGGAGAAGCAGTGCTGAGACGGCTTGGCGCTGTGGCCAGCGTGGAGACACGAGGCCCTGCATGTCACCCGTCACACATCTGGCCTGCGGCAGTTCCCTGGGTCCCGCATGCACTGGGCTGGCCCAGCTGGCAGCCAAACCAAACATCCCAAGCTCCCACTCTGCCCTTGTGGTTGGGGGCGGGGTCAGTGCCAGGCCCTCGCAGCCCCTGTTCCACTGTAAGGAACGGGACTCGGGCGTCTCACCGGGTTTCTGCGCCACGTGACACTCCTGCAGCACCAGTCTGTCCTTGGCCACAGCCAGCTTCTCCCCGAGCTTTTTGGCAGTGCTTTTCAACTCTGAGTTCTCCTGCCGCGCCTCCTTGAGTTGCACGTCCAGGTCCTAAACAGACAGAAAGAGGCTTGTTTCCCCAGCTTCAGTTCCGCTCAGACAGCCTACGTGCGCAGACCTCAGATCTGACGGCTTAACCCTGAGTCGCGAGAACTCCGAGGTGAGATGTACAGGAAATCCTTCCTCGCGCTGTGATGGCCTGTGTGACCTTGGGCAAGTTACTTAACCTTTCTCCAGTGAGGCTGAAGGAGATAAAATGCTTGGAGAAAAAAATACTCAGGGAGCATGAGGGATGTTAGCTATTGCTACTTTAAGATGGGGGGCGTTGTGGGTCTATGGGGTCACGTAAGGAGGGGGTTCATGGTCTGACTTGCCACCTACCCTCCAGGGACTCTAGGATAGGCAAGTTGATGAGCAGGGGCTTTAGAATGCGGCCGACCTGAACTCAAAAACGTAGGCCAGGCCTCAAGCCTCTCAGTTTCCGCCAGTCTTGTCATCTGCAAACTGGATGTGTCTAAGCTCTCCAAGCCCAGCTCACCAGGGCTCCTGCCTGGTACACGGTTCGTTTTCAGAAAAAAATGCTGAATGAATGTAATGAGCACAGTGGAGTTAAAACATTCACTTTTGTGATTGTGTTTCGCACAACGCCTGACGCATAATGAGGGGTTCACCATGAGGGCCAGGTCAGTACACCCGGGTATGGGCGGCTGCAGGTGTATGCGGTGAGGTAATAGCATGTGAAGATGCGTGAAGCTGAACTTCTGAATCAAACATACGGTGCCGCAAACCAACATTAACTACCTCAGAAAAGAAAAACATTTTAAAAAGAGAGAAAGGCAGGCGAGGGGCCTCCCTGGTGGCGCAACAGGTTAAAGTGCAGCACTGCAAGCCAGTGGCCCACAGACCTCTCCTGACCTCCCGCTGCTCCCCTCAGCAGTGTACTTCACCCATCTGCCTGTTCTGCTCCCCACTGTCTCTGGCGAGTCCTCTCACTGCCCCTGAGCCTCTGGCCTGTAGCCCAGTTCTGTATGCACAGATAAATAAATCTTTAAAAACGGAAGGAAAGGGAGGGGCTTGCTTCACCTGAATTCTCTCCTTGAGCTTCTGCGCGTGCTTCTTGAGGTCACTTATCTTGCGGCCTCTGTGCTCCAGGTCGCCTTCCAGCTTCCGGACCTGGGCCTGCAGGGCCGACTCCTGGACCTGGAAGTTCTTGCGGAGGTCGGTCTCCTTCTCCTGCCACTGCCACAGGGCCTCGCTCACCGACTGCTGCATGGCCTGCCGGATGGCCTCGTTCTCGCGCTCGTAGTTGGCCTGCAGCTCCTCCGCCTTCCTGGCGTAGTCCTTGCTCAGCTGCTGGTTCTCCGCCCGCAGCCGCTGCACCTCCAGCAGGACCTCCCGCATCTCCGGGCCGCCCCCCGGCTCTCCCTTCCCGTCAGGGTTCTCCTGGGCGAGCCGGCCCCACTGAGGCGCCTCGTGGCTGGTCAGGTGGCGGAGCCTCTTCTCATAGTCCGCCTTGAGCTCCAGCATCTCCTTGGAGAGGGTCAAAACCCGCTCGGCGTGCTCAGCCTCCACCCTCAGCTCCCTCTCTTTGGTTTCCAGCCTGCAGGAGGCCGACTGGGCAAGCGCCTCCTGGGTGAGCCTCTTCTGCAGCTCCAGGGCACTCTCCAGGGCCTGGATGCGCTCCCGCAGGGCCTCCTCATCCGCTCTGCCCTGTTCCTGCAGGAGCCGGGCCTGGGCCTCGGCCACTGCGTTCTGGAGCTCCTCCTGGTGGGCCTCCCGCAGCGCCTCCATGCTGGCCTCTGCCTCATCCTGGCGGGTGTTCAGTGCGTAGATCACCTGCAAGACAAGGCGCACTTCTCAGTGCGTGGGAGTGGGCGGGGTGAGGGCAACCGACCAGAGGTTGCTCCTCTGCCGTGGTCACCACACGGAGCCCCGCAAACGGCACCTGTGAACATCCGTGTGAAATGAGGTATTAGGAACCAGGGAAAAGAGAGCAGAGCAAGGTGGTGATACTGCAAAAAACACTCCGGGGGGGATCTGACGCGGAGTTTCTGGCCGGGAACCCTACAGCACCCCAGAACCTGGTCAAGGACCGAATGCTCTGACTTCTTTAGAAAGAACGTGTTGGGGAGCAAACATTTAGAAGAATAAAATGCTTGACAATAGAAGTCAGCTAGCTACAGAAAGGATGTTTCACCATGACCAAGTAGGATTTGCTCCAACCACGCAATGGAGACTTAACACCTCAGCATCGGTTGTTGTAACAGCACCTGAATAAAGGACAAAAGGCACACGATTGTCTCCAGAGGCACAGGAGAGAGAAACATTTGACAATCTAACACTCTGTGAAAAAACGTGCGCGCGCCAGACGCAGAAGGGAGCGTTCTCAAACGGCGTCTGAGAGCGAGACGCAGCTGACCTAACACTACCGGTGGAAGGCCGACCGACCGTTTCTCCGTTCCTCCCTCACCTCAGGGACAAGGCAGGGACATTGCTGCCTCGCGGAGAAGAGAATGAAGGGAGGTAGGAGCATCGCAGGAAGCTGAGGAGCCAAGATGACATCCCGGCCGAGCTACAGGAAGTGTTCACTGAACTGAAAACGTGTAGGCAGGCAGGTACGGGGAAGAAAACCAAGCGCTCCATTTTGGACTAATTAATTTGGTGAAAGCAGCCCCAGACTGGATGTGGGGGGGGGACAGAATGACAGGCCAGAGGAGCCGGTCTCCTGCCAGGTGGACGGCCATGCCAGCCAGATTCCCCGGAGCCAGCTCGGGTTTCTGCCATTCTCAGACTAACCTAATTCTGTTTGACCAGGGCACTTTCCGACTCTTCTCTTTTAAAAGCTGTTCAGTTATTACAGTGCTTACAACCTCATTTTTCTGCAAAAAATAAAAAATAAAAATAAAAACCAACAACCCAGATCTTGCTCTTTTGAGGACCATTCTCTTGGGTGTCTGCATTTAATAGGTCTTCATTACCTCTCTCTTCCTCCTCTCGTGTCAGCCCGCTCCATCAAAAGGAAACATCCCTTGTTTTTGGAGACATTGCCCCATCCCCTCATGTCTGAAACTGCTGAAATTTTGAGCAGACCCACGCCCTTCTGGGTAGTGTCTCCGAGGGCACTAGGCAGCACCCTACACTGCCTGCCCCTTGCTTGCTTTTGCACACCACCTCCTAAAAGACGCTTTAACGCTACTGGCCCAGCCTCATTTATGAACCCACTTCCGTGGGAGGAGGCCGACTTCAGAAACCATCAAGGGACATGAATAATTCACAGCCAAATGAAATATGAGCAAGTTCAAAGTCTTCCCAAGGGCTTTAGAAATCCACTGCTAATGGTTTGGCTTCAGAGAAAATTTCAGCAGGGGGCCTGTTAGGGTCATAAAGGTTGAGTATTGTAGGTTTAACAAATCTATAATTAATGTATTATGGGCATCAGATCCTAAGGAAAGTTTCCGTCAAGCCTAGGAGCAGGAATCAGAAAAAAGGGAAGTAATACTTGCTGAGTGCCTACAGTGTAACTTCACTGGACCAGAGGATTTCCATACTGTTTCTCAATTACTCTAACAGCAATTTGTCTAGTAACTAAGTGGAGTCCACACCTATTTTACAGATGAAAAGCTGACATTGGGTCATGTAGGGGTGCTGTAGTATGCTGTTTAGAAGAGGCATTAGGGCCTGCTGGCCTGGATTTACATTGTAGCTCTGTCTCTTTCTTGCTGAGTGACCTTTGGTCACTTACTGAACCTCTCTGAGCCTCAGTCTCCATTGTTGACATGGAGTTAGCAATAATCACCACATAGATTTGTTTGGAGAGAAAAATGACATCAGGAACCTAAGACCTGTACAATATTCCTAGCACAAACACTTAAGAAATACTGCCTGATATTGTTTTACTATTATTAATGTGGCCCATAAAAATGATACTAAAATAAGCTAATGTTAAAAAACAATGTTAAAAAGTGAAGATGGCCCTCCCTGGTGGCGCAGCGGGTTAAAGCACAGCACTGAGAAGCTAAAGCCACTTCCGCATGAGTTCGATCCCCGCCTGCCCCGGAGGAGATCCACATGGCGTGGCAGACCTCTCCTGACCCGCCCGCTGCTCCCCTCATCAGTGTACTTCGTCTATCTGCCTGTTCTGCTCCCCACTCTGTCTCTGGTGAATCCTCTCACCACCCCTGCACCTCTGGCCTGTACCCCAATTACAAATAAATAAATCTTTAAAAAAAAAAAAAGTGAAGATGAAGCCCTACTCCTTCTAGATCCAAAATTAAATAGAACTGAGTTTTGTTTTAAGAAAAAAATAAAGGGCTGGTAACATTCATTCAGTATTTTTGCAGCATTTACTGCAATGCTAGGGACAAAAAAACTCTAACAAATGAGATCATTCTTACTGATCTTGAAGGGCTAGCTGAACGGGCGGCAGAGCACATTGTTTGTCCATGTTATTTTCCCCTTCTTGCCATGTACCCCCTCGCCTATTAACGCTTCTTCCCTTTTGGGCTCAGGTGTGTGACTTGTTGCAATCAGAGGCTACCCACATGTTCATGGCCAGACTTGCCCTACTGTGCTTCCATCATCTGCCATGAGAAAGGGCATTAGGGCAACCTCAGGTCCTAGCATGACAGACATGTGGCCCAAGTCCAGCAGAGAGCAGCCAACCTCAGCATGAAACAAACCCCTGTTCCTGCAGGCCGCTGAGACTTTAGAGCTGTTTGTCACTAGCACCATTGCAGGAAGATTTGATGAACTCAGAGAGAGGAAAGCAAGCCAACAGTAGTGTGTTTGTGGTATTTAATGTGCTTCAAAGAAAGGCACAGGGGAGGGAAGGAGCTGACTGCTCCAGTATCATCCCCTTCCTTCCTGCCTCATCATTCTTGGATCAACTTCACCATCATTTGCATGTGCTTTTTGTCATTAATAAACATCCTTCTTTTGGTCTTACCCTCAATTTGTGTACCTTTTTATTGCACATTCCTCCCAAAGCAGGTGGTCACTCTTTCACCTGCTTTTTTTTTTTTTCACTCTTTCCTGGCTACCCAGAAGTCTTTTCTGTGGCTCTATCTTCCCCTGCCTTGGGTTTCTCTCACTTTTACCGGACATGCTATAAATTTAACGTTAACATTCAGAGCTTGTTGCTGATTGTTTTGAGCCATATGCAGGTAGGTTATTTTTGTCAATTGCCTCTATACTAGATCCCAGAATAGTGCCTGACTGTGGAAAGGACTCTGGGAATATTTGAATGAATGAAATATCTTTTTATCCTCACAGAAAAACATCAAAGTATGAAGGGTGCTTGAGCTGGATTTAGATAGTCAGCGAGGCAGACACGGGGAGGAGAATACAGATGGGTGGAGTGAGTATGAGGAGCAGGAAATGGCACAGAGGCATGGAACAAAGTGGACTGGGAGGGGATATGTAAGGGAGTCCTTCTGGCCAGAGGCTGGGGAGGGGCATGGACAGGAAGGGCAGACAGAGTGACTGTACTGGACAGGCGGGCAGAGGCCAGACACTCAGAGTTCAGCACCCATGTCACCGAGTTTCGGCTTTATCTTGTTACACAGCACATGCGAATTGCAGCCTCCTCACCTTGCTCCAGAGATAACCCCATCAGAGGCCGGGGGAGAGGCCAGGATCTGAATTTTTAACATTCAGTTGCTTGGGAACTCAAACTCCAAAATAGGGATGCATACTTTGGGGGGAAATATGGTTCCTGGGTCAGGCAGGACGATTTTCTGGTAGGATTCTGCCTCTCTAGAGTTATGGGGAGCACAACTCTCCGTAACAGCTAATTTTATGTGTCAGTTTCACTGGGGCTCCATGCAGTCCACTGACCACGGAACAGGACAAAGGCCTGGCCAGGGAGAAAGCACTCTTTTTGGCTGGCTGTTGCCCTGAGACATCAGTCTTCCCCTGTCCTCAGAGGGGCGGGCACCACGGGGCCTCAGCACTCATATCTGTTGAGTGAATGAAATCTCTCTCCAGGGTAGGACTAGAATTTGCACCTCTGCTGTCACGGGGCTCCAGCTCCAGATGCAGCTTGCAGAGCTTTAAGGAGCTAATGGCTATGAGAAATCTCTTTTTCTGTCTTCCCTACGAGTTCTTTCTCTGGAGAACCCCGGATTTCACATGCTCTTTGGGATCACGGCCTCAGCGGACGAGGCAGCGAGGCAGAAGAGTTTGGGGGTGGGGTGGGCCTTTAAAGGCAGAGAGAGCAGAGAACAGTCTCAGGAGCTACCAGCCATGGAGAGTGGTGGGCTGGTGACGGAGTGAGAGGCTGGAGGACTCAGCAGCTTCCATGATCGCGGGTGTCCAGGCCACCTGTTGTGTAAGCCTGCAGGCACAGTGCAGGCTCTCTGTCAACTAGAGCGGGCGGGTAAAGGCGATCCAGGGCCCTCGATGGGCTTTTCAGGCTTTAATGGTCACTCTACGCCAGTTGCAGCACAGCAACCACACGCAGGGCAGCAGGGGCCGGAGCCTCTCTGGCAGCCTCTCGTGGTCCCTTCCTCTCACAGCTCATCCTCCCATAGCCGTTCTGCCGTTATAGCCGTTCTCTGTGTGTCGCCCCCTTACAGCCTCAGCCTCTAGGCCCAGGCGTGCACACCTGCGCACGCGCACATCACAATCCAGGTGTCCACCCCTCTGCGCTCCCGAGCGCCTCCTGCAAGCACCAGCAAGGCCCCAGGTGATAGCCACAGAGGCCAGCAGTGTAAACGCCTGGCCACCTTCATTCACCCGACACCACCTCTCTGTGGAAGCAACAGTCCCAGAATGCCAGAGCAGGCCCAGGCCAATGTCACTGCCCTAGCCACACCCCTGCATACAGGAGGCCGCCC